AGCTCTGAAGCTGGAATGAACTTGTGTGTGTTCAAGGAACAGAAAGGCAGCTAGTTTTGTACTTGTTGGTGCTGTTTGTCAGATGTTCTGGTTGCCTCTCCTCCCAAGCACAAGGGAGGACTGCACAGGGTCCTCTGTAGAAGGGTAAGTCATGTGATTTGTTCTGGACAGTGAGTCATGAGCAGAAATGACATGTGCTGTTAATGGAGAGACACAATGAAAGACCCTCTAGAAGACTTTTTTTTTTTTGTCTCTGGCATGGTGATTGAATGCTGTAGATAGTGCTGCTCCATCAGTCTGAATCTAAGAGTGACGAAGAAAAGTGTGGGAACAGAGCCCCCAGCGGATCCCTAATAGACATAAATGTGAGCAAAAAATTAATTTGTGTGTTTCAAGCCTCTGTGACTTGGAGCTGTTACATCACTATGGCAAAACCTGCCCCGACTGGTAGTTTTCACTGGTGGGAAATGAGATCTCAGGTGTAGTCAGGGGACAGAGCCTTGGAGACAGTAACAAACTTGGGTTTCATTATGTAAATGAATAACCTTTGGAGGACTTTGAGCAGGGGGATGACAGGATTTGCATACAAAAAAAATCTCTCAGTCATGTAGAGGAAAAGTCCTTGCTCATGGGAAATATATACTGAGATATTTAGAAATAAAGTATAATGTCTACAATTTGCTTGCAAATGGTTCAGTAAAATGTGTGTAGATGCACAACAGGGCTAAAGTGGTAATTGGTGTATCTAGATGAAGGTATGTAGGTGTTCACTGTACTCTTTTTCAACATTTTGTGGGTTCAAACTTTTTAAAAATAGTATGTTGGGAGGAAATCACTTTAGAGAACTACAAAGGAATAGAAGCAAAGACCATCAGGAGGCTGCTGTCAGGTGAAGTGGTATGGGCTGGAGTGGCCATGGTGAGAAGTGGGTGGCTTTGAGATCTATTCTGTAGGTGGAGCCAGCCAGTTTGCTGATAGATTGACTGTGGGGATGTGAAGGAAAGAGAGGAGTCGAGGTGTCTCTTAGGTTTTTGTCTTGAGCAAGTGGGAGATGAGTGTTACCATTAACTGAGATGGAACAGCCAGGGAAGGACTAGGTTTGGAGGATGGGAAATAGTGATTCACTTTTGGGCACGTGAATGGTGAACATCCCAGTGGAGACTGGATTGCCAGTTGGATAAATGAGTTGGGAGTTCAGAGAAAAGGTTGTCTGGAAATAAACAATTTGGAACTATCAGCATGTAGTGGCACCAAGTCATGGAATCCCTTAGGAAACATGTGCAGGTGGAGAAGAGGATCAGGACTGAGCACGTGGACAGACAGGGGCAGGATCATGAAGTTAATTTGATTTCTCCTCTTGTGATTCCATGCTTACTGAGCAACCACTTGATTATCACCTGACTTCCCATATCAGTCCATCCATAAAGGAAAGGTTGGTCAGGTGAAGTTGGAATATTCTAGTTCCCAGGATAGTTCTCATTGTAAATAGATTGATCACACTCACAAGTGTGGTTTGAGTCAGCTTCTGAGGCAGATCCATTCCCAATGTGCTGACAAAATCTGATGGAGTCTGAATACGAGGGACAGACCCAGGACTGGAAATTCCCCGGAGACAAATGGTACACTCTTGCTGGCACTCTTCATTAGCTCAGTAGCCACAAAGAAAGAATGTTTTCAAAACCCGTAGCCAGGTATAGATAAGAGACTATTCCCTCTTTTGGTGGTAAACCTTTTCTTTTGTCAAAGTTCTATTGATCTGTCGCCGATTCTCTCATGTAGGTTTTCTTCCATGTAGATCTTGCATTTCCTTATATCAGAATCTCTATTACTTTTTTACTATTTGGAAAGTATTCTCTATGTGCTTGCTCTAAATCTATTTTTTAAATTTTATTTCATTTTTGGATAGTATTCAAAGTCAAAATGGCATAAAGTATATATTGAGAATTCACCTTGCCACCTCTCCCCTAAGCATGTTCCCCGCCCAAATCACTGTCCCTGCCCATTCTGTGTATCCATCTAAAGTTTAGGTTGTTACCAATCTCTTGCTAGCACAAAGCTGCAATTAATATGGTCTGAGCTGTAGTTTGTCTTCTTTGCTGTGCTGTGATGATGGGAAAGACATATTCCTTTTGGGAGGGGATGAGTGATGTCTGATGAAAGTTCAGGCTCAAAATGCATTCCTCTGCCCGTCCCTTTTAGTCTGAACCGTGGATACATGACACTTCCAGTACACCATGATTACATAGCTCCTCTAGCTAAAGCAGTTTAGGGATGTTCATCTATTTAATGCCTATTGTTTTGGGAATAAAAATGGCTTGTGCTTACCCAATGAGAAAAAAAGAGATTAATAAAGGTTATTGGAGAATATGTGTTTATGGGATTAACTTCAGAAAATAATAAACTCAGGTAGGAAGTTAATGCATATCTTTGGCCTCTTTTCCCATGGTGCAGCAGGTTGTATTTTCCAAAGATAGCTGCCTCAACATATCTTATCCCATATGCTCTTCTTATAATGTGACACTGACACTCTTCCCATTGAGTGGGCCGGTGTTCCCTCCCCTTGAACTTCAGCTGACCTTTGTGACAGCAGAAACCAGTAGAAGACAGTGAAAGTCCTGCAGCTAAGTCCAGGCAACTCCCAGAACCATGAGAGGTGTCAACAGTGATTCAAATCTAGTAAGTTTTGAGGTTATTCATTTTGTAGCAATAGAAAACAGAAAAATGGTCTTGACTTTTAATCATCTTTACATTTTCTTTGGTCTTGGTTCTTTAATTTTTTATTCAGAATTTACTGTAATTTTGTCTCTTCTTATTGCAGGTCACCTCAAATACTTTGTGGAAGAGGGTTTAAGTACAATGTAATTACATCTTTTTTGTTTTACCTTTTTAAATTTTATTAATTTTTGTTACAGATGATTCTCCTTTTTCCCCCTAGACACCCTCCCTCCCGATGCCACCCCTCTCAGCCCCCAGCGTTTTTGTCTATGCCCATTGGTTACACATACATGCATATAAGTTCTTAGGTTTGTCTCATCCCTCCCCCTGCCCCAATGTAATTAAATTTTTAAAAGTACTTTTTAAAAATTTTAACTTTTATTGATTGACTTGAAAAAGAGAAAAACTGATTTGTTATTCCCCTTATTAATGCTCTTCTATCTAACCCAATGATGTAAACTCCCTGGTGTTATGCTACTACAACCCATGAAAGCAAGCCTTATCACAATTTTTGAAGGATTTAAAAATATATGTTTTTATTGATTTTTTTTTTTAGAAAGATGTGAAAGAAGAGATAGAAACATTGATGTGAGAAAGAAACATCAATTGGCTGCCTCCTGCATGCCCCCTTCCAAGGATCAAGTCGGCAACCCAGGCATGTGCCCTGACAGGGAATCCAACCGGGACCTCTCAGTCCATGGGATGATGCTCAGTCCAGAGCCACACGGGCTGGGCTGAAGGATTTTTAAAAATTAAAATAACAAAAAGATTGCTCTGTGTGTACTTGCTTCACATTTTTTGCCTTCTTCTCCTGGCAAACAGATCCTTTGTCCATGAAAGTTTGATAGAAATAATTAGGACCTCACATACAAGGACCAGATGATTCAATCAACAAATAGTTTCTCAACAGACATTTATTGCCTCCTAAGGTGTGCCAGATACTATACCAGGTGCCGAATATACAAACACTCAGTCCCAGCTTACATAGGGGCTCCTGAACTAGTGATAATTTACAGCTATAAAAATCCTACCTTATGTAAGGTACTAGACATGTCTGGAAAAGTCTTTGAACGTCTTCAATGATAGACTATTTAAAATAACAACAAAATAATAATAAAGAAAACTATCAAATGATCTGACAGGCAATTTAAAAAAGTAAACGGAAAAATTATACAGCAACTTTATAGTAGGTGCATATAGCTATGAATTCAGTAAAAGAAACATAGCTAATTTTATTTTATTTTTTTGGTACGTGCCCCTAGCGGGAACCGAACCCAGGACTCTCTGGTCCACAGGCCAATGCTACAACCAGCCAGGGCGAAACAGAGCTAATTTATTCTCTCCATAGTCACAGAAATAAAATTATGTTGTCATATGGCATAAACCTTACAAAATATTATATTTAATGTAAAAGACCATGAGATATTACATTATAGGATGCTACAGTTTTTAAATACATTATTAGTCATTACTTTTCCAAGTTTAACTGTAACAAAAATTTTTAAATCAGTTTTCCTAAATGTAATCCCAACCCAAGTAGTGTCACCATCTATCCACTAACCTTAGAAGAAAGGTGCATGAAGGCAGGAACCATATCTATTTGTTTACCACAGCACATTCAGTACCTGGCACATTATAATCACTCATCAAGAATGTGTTGAATTAGTCAACTGGAAACATGTACTTAGAACAGATTAAAGCTAAGAGTTTTATTCAACAAGCACTTCCGAATACTTTGTATAAACACAGCATTGTCATACCCATGGATAGATGGACAATATTACTTGCATTTATAAACCTTTGAAATAAAATAGAAACATTTAAAATTCACATTAGAAAAAATAATTCTACACTTGATCTGGCTAAAAGGTGAAGAAGTGATAGAAATAAATAATTCTAGCTATGTACCAAATATAAAAATATAACAAGACAAAAAAACCAGTAAATACATTATTTTTACAAGCTCCTAGGGGCCAGGAAAAAATTAAAGTATGAATTCATATCCTTTCTAGTTTTAACTACAGAAATAAGTTCACAATGCACAAAGTCCTCTTTTGGTAGCATACATCAATGGTGTATGGATGGTGAATCTCTTCAGGTTTTCTACATAAAATTGAAAGAAACAAGGGGCCATATAAAAGTAGAAACCAAACTAGTTTATATGTTTTTTTGAGGAAGGAAATTGAGATTTTTGTACTCATTGCTTTAGAAATTATGAGTAGAAAAATTATTTGAAGTGAAGCAAATAATATATTCTATTATAAATAATTAAAATAGGATGGCATTAGAAGACCTCATCCAAATCTGAGATTAAATAATTCTATGAACTAAATACAGAAATGCACGGGAATAGAGAAAAAGACAGTGAAAAAAGATAAAGTAAAAAAAAGGAGCTCTAAAGAAACTCCCTCCCCCTGAAGACACAGACTAAGAGCTGAAACATAGGAATATTAAGGAGGGATGAACACATTTAATCAGATCTTGGCTTCCCTCAATCCGAGGCTTTATTCTCAGAATTGTTTCATAACAATCTAACATTTGTGTCTGAATGTCTGCTGGCCTCTTAAGTGTATTTCTTCTAGGCTTTTAAAATTATGCTGTTTTCATACCTAGACTGAACCGACTTGAGAGTCAGTGGTCATATGCCTACTTTACTCTAAGGCTTGAGTTGGATTATAACTGTTTAATAAAGAACTTCCAACTTCATAGTTCTTCTTCTGACTCTTGATCATAAATTTCCCGAGGCTGTCTCTTAATACTGATTATCAAATCAATGGTTAAAATTTTGGTCAAACACTGAAGAACTGAAGTTAGTAACTGGTATTTACCAGATACTGATTCCAAACCTGTCTGACTGCTTACCATGGGTTGATTGGTTTGCAGTGCATGGAGAGCTCTAATATATACTTGCGGAAAGCTGTGCTTTCCTTTCTTAGCTTTATATAGGATTTTGGGAATGCCTAACAGTGCATTAGCTATTATTATACTAACCATGGTTGTTTCTGATTGCTGGCATTTTTTGGCATAGTTGAGAAGATAGTAATGTAACAAGATCTCAAAATCACCACCCACTGGCAAAACACAACCTGCTGATATAGATGAGAAATAGTAACTCTGGGAAGTACCCATCTCCAGTGACTTATATCTCACTGGTAACATACTTCCCTTTCTAGCAAATTTTATGATCGACAAATTTTCATGAGAAATTTCTATTCTAGAGTGTTCTGCTGTTGAATCAATAGTAGGATCACTCTCAATAAATGAATCATGGTCATCAATTATCCTGGTTTTGTTTGCAGATAAACATCTCAGTGTTTCACCTGCCTGGTATGTATCTGCTGGTGTCACTTTTGGTGTTGAACATGAAATATATGTTTCTAATTCTCCACTTGGAACTACCACATTTGAATATACTTTTAAATATTTTTGAGGTTTTGCAAGTTCATCTTCTTTCCTTACAGCTGTGCCCTGATGTGGACTTTGTATTGAGCCATTAACAATTTCTGGCAACTGATTACTTTCTCTATTCTTATAAATAAGAGGACTTGATGTATAATTCTGGTCAGTGATTTGTGTCTTGTAATTTAAATTAAGGTCTTTAAATAACTGCCGAAGCATTTTAAATGCTCCATGTAAAGCATCCTTATGTTGTTCAACAAGACCCTGTACTGGTCCACAAAGAACTATACAGTGTGGTATAAATGAACATGTGCTAATCAAGCCAAGATGAACATACCTTTTGGATCTAAGGATAAGGGGCTTACAAAATTTCACAGAAGCAGTGTTTGAGATTTCATACTGTGAAGAGGCTTGTGGCAGTACAAATGGGGAAAGACCAATGATCCTCTGAATAAGAGAAATTTCTTCAGATGATAAACATTCCACCACTGATATGCCATTCAATTCTGCATAATAAATAACTAAGTCTGGTTGTTTCACACTAGATAGGAGCAATTTTACATTCTGACTCTGTAAACGTTTCATTATTGCTTTTGTCCTTTCCATAATCCAGAATTGAGATGTCTGAAACTGGGCCTCTGAATTTAGAATAAACTCTGATCCAGAAGTTGAAAAGAGAGGCTGGATGGTTTCTGTTACTAGCACTATTCTTATATCACCATCTGCTGGACAGTACACAGAAAAGTCTCTGCAAAGCACAAGCCCTGCGTTGATCTTGGAATCTGAAACAGGAAGGCCAGTGACACCAATGGTCAGCTCTACAAAACAGTCATCCACTAAGTCAAATACTTCTTCAAACCCACTTTCACAAGCCACACACTTGAAAAAGTAGTCACACATCAATTGTGAAATAAAGTTGTGGTTATTTCTTCCCACTCTTCCACAAAAGTATGCTTCTAAGAGCAACTCTAAAGAGCTCCTACACAATGTTCTCTCTTTAGTGGATGAAGAAAAGATGGACAAAAAGTGTCTACTTAAGTGTTGGTCCATAACATAGTCTAATATTTGTGTCTGAAACGTTAGAAGAGCTTGGGAAATACGTTTCCACTGACAACAATTTTTCCAATGCCTTCTATGGGTTTGACTATTTTTCAAAATCAAAGAATCTTTTCCTTTGTCTGTGACTGCATGAAGTCCTCTGAGCAAATGGGAAAGAAAGATAATAAATGTCTTAGCACCATCTCCTGTTTTTCTTAGATGACTGGAAACACATGCCACCATCACCCTGTACAAAAAAGAAATAAAGCAACTCAGATTTTCAGTGGGCTGCCTTCCTACATCTAAATCAAGCTGAAACCATGTTTTCACAGCTATAAGCATAAAATGAGACTACTGTCCCTTTGATATGTCCTTAGTTTGGGGTTTCCCTTTTCCGAGTTACTGGGTTCTATTCCAAGATGCCAGGGTCGGGTGGAGCGGGGAGGGGAGGAGTGAGAGCTGTTCTTAAGAGCTGATGAGATCGGCTGTCCAGTATAAGGTTCCCTCTGCGGAGCGCTAACCCTGAGCGCACACCGGTCTCACCCAAGCCCAGCTTTTTGCAAGAGCACAGCCTCAGGGCCAGTACGTTCGCGGAGATGGCCTGGGGTAACCGTCCGTAGTACGCTCTCCAGGGCTGAAGAGGGGACGCGGGTACCTGGCTATGGGATGGTCTAAGTGCAGCGCCTCCAGGAGGCGGCCTCCATCCCGGCTGAGCAGCACCTCGCCCGTGGGCTTCGTACACAGAACTTGCCGCCCCTCGGGCCCCACGCAGCCGCTCACGATGGTTTCTAGCACCTCCGCGACCTGCAACGCCGCCTTCACGGAACCCGCAACAGCCATAGCCCCTCGGGGTCAGGCGGCCCAAGCCACCCTCGCAGAACGCAGGACGGCCTGGAGGGGGCGGTGCGCGGCACGGCCGGAAGCGGAAGAGGCGGGGAGGAGCCCGGAAATCCGGGCAGCTCGGCTTCTCGGTTGGGCGAAGATCCTGCCCTTCCGCTCAGTCCTCGGCCGGCGCAGCACGGCCGACCAGTGGGGCTCGCGGTCCCATAGCCCGCGGAGAAGGAAGAGAGATCTGGCCTCCCGGGCCCGGAAACCACAGTCCCTTCCCCAGATCCCTGGGAGAACTCGTTCCCTTCCGGTTTCAGCTGCCACCAGATCCCTCCGAGTCCCGGGAAGCTTGCCCCGAAGTTGGCACGAGGTGGAGCCTGTGGGAAGGAGGAAATGGGTACGCGGGGAGACCTCGGCTCGTTCCCTGTCCCCGCAAAAGCAACTCTTGTTTCCCAGCAAAACCTCTGCCGTGGACTCACACCTATTCTGGCCACTGCCCATCAGCTGTTCACCTTCCACTCGCAAGCAATTTGGGGATGTAGGATGGAAGGCGAGAGCCTAATGAGGGTCACACGCTGCAGGCTTGAGGCTTTTCGCAGGGGCTTTGCCACATTTCCTGGGCTCGGGTATCACTGAAATCCCAGCCACCACAGTCTACTTTAGCAGAAGTAACGTGAGTACTTGGCCATACTGGTTGGGGGTCCGTAGTATGCTTTAAAAACACAGTGCCCTAACACGACTAGATACAATCCAACGGCAGGAAAACAAACATACTGTTAGAAAACAAACATTCAAAGATGAAATGGTCAGGAGCATAGGTTTAAGATTTAGACCTGGATTTGCTCTGCCATTTACTCATCTGAAATATTTCAGCAAGTGATCATTTTTGTTTCCAATTCTCTCATTAAAAAAAAAAAAGGAGATAATAGGTATGTAACTCTTAAGGTTTTGAAGAGGGTGACAATGTTTACAAAACGCTTTTTTTTTTTTTTTTGGCATGGTACCCAGCATATACTAAGCACTCAACAGTAATATTTTACAGCTCACCCACCAAATTCCTGTGACATGTCACCACTGTATGGGCCTACTATCTCTACAAAAAAGGGATAATCTGTAAGGTGCCTAAGAGTCTGTTGGCATAATAGCATAACACAGGACACCTATTAAAGAGTGTGGTCAATGCCTGGCAGTGTGCTCAGTGATTGAGCATCAACTCATGCACCAAGAGGTCGCCAGTTCAACTCCTGATCAGGGCACATGCCCAGGCTGTGGGCCAAATGGGGGGGGGGGTGCAGGAGGCAGCCAATCCATGTTCTCTCTCATCAATGTTCCTATCTCTCTCCCTCTCCTTCTCTCTCTCAAATCAATAAAGAAAAAAAGAGAGAGGTCAATATTAGAAAGTTATCTTGTAGATGTTTCATTGAGTTTGAACAGTGAGGGGGCTGTTTTCTTTGCCCTTTATTCCTATGCTCTATATATAAGCCCTTCCCTCCCTTCACCCAATTAATGACAGAATCAACTAACTATTAGCCAGGAGCAAATGGACCCTGAAGAGAAGTAAGAAAAGAGGGGAGGAGGATAGAGGAAAACCAGAGAGGAAAAATGTCTTGAAACTCATCTGATATTAACACAGTATTGACATATAGGTGATTTAAGGGGAAAAAACCTTTTTCATATGGGTTTTGTGTATATGCTTAATAGTAAGGTGTTTTTTGTTTTCTTTTTTTTGTTTGTTTTTTTGGCTTTACCCATCACAAAGGGGTTACATTACAAAATATAGATTAGAGCAGAGAATTATTCCAAACATTTAAAAGTGGTACAATCAGAGTTCTATTTAAGTGTACAGTGAAAAAGAATGAACACTGCAGTCAGACTTGGATCCAAACTTGTGCTCGCTATGACTCTTACTCTATGAAGCTTTTGGAATAATTTAACCTCTCTGAGCCTCAGATTCTTCATCTATACAATCGGCTAACTCACCCTGGCCAGTGTTGCTCAGTGGTTAGTGTTTTCCTGTGCACCAAAGGGTCATGGGTTCAGATTCCTGGTCAAGGGTACGTACCTGAGTTAGAGGTTCATCCCTGGCCCAGCTGGGGTGAGTTTGGGAGTCAACTAATCAATGTATTTCTCTTACATTAATGTTTCTCTCTTTCTCTCCTCAAACCTCCCTCCCTCCCTTCCACTCTCTCTAAAAAGCAATGGAAAGAATATCCTCGGTGAGGATTAAAAAAAAAAAAAAAAATCGGGCTAACTTCCACTTATATTTAGGTTATTATGAGCACTCAAGAGGAGTGAATATAAAGTACCCAATAAAGCACACATTAGGGATTCTAACTGTTAAATCCCTTCCAAACCCTGCACCGTCCTTGACAGCTACTACTACCAAAATTTTTATTTTTATTTCAAAATTAGGATGAAGTAACTAGGACTAAGTAATTTAATATGTTATATTCAAAGTCATTTGATCACAATTTGCTTTTTTTAAAAATTTTATTTAGAATGCCTACTTGTATAAGTTAGCATAATTTTACAGATTATTAGAAAAATTCAATTGTCTCTGCAAACATAATAATAGGTTAGGAATAATAGATTAGAAATGTAATACATTACAAAACAGTAGCCTATTACTATCTGTACATTTACGATGCACCTTAAGGAAAAGAATTTGACAGTGTGCTGTACTTACACTGCAGATAACATACTTTTATTCTATTATACAAAAGTGACCAGTGGTAGTATGAATTTATAAATGGCCATTACTCAGAATATTTAACTTATATGTATATTGAGCATGCTAAAAAGTGAAAAAAAAGTCAACTGACATTCTGTGGCTCATCAGTTCAAATGTTTTGTGGCATTTTTCTTTAAATAGATTTTAATATTGTAATACTAAAATACTTTTACATGATAAATGCAGAAAGACAAAATTTTCTAAATATTTTAGAAAGTATATTCACATTCATTTTTGTCACGGGGTTCATGTGGCTCTTCTATGTTAACCATATTAAGGAGACACTGGTCCTATACAATTTTAATAGTCTTGTCTTCAAATAAAAACTGTAACAAAACAGTATGTTAAGAGTAACAAAAGGAAATTAAATATACTAAAATCACACAATAGGTAAACAAAATGAAACAAAATTACATTAACAGTGGCAGATTATCTATTTTTAAAGAACCTCTTTTTCCATGTAGTCAGAAGTTGAAATTACATGTAAACTTAGTGATTTCTATGTGTGTGGGTTCCCCAGCCCCACAGTGGTTCAAATTGGAAAATTTGGTATAAATGCTAATTTTAATATTTTAGTTCTGTACGTTTAACATAATTCAAAGTAATCTGCAGCATCATGCATGGCTCAAAAATAATGCCATTATCACCTTATGTCAAACAAACAAACAAAAAAAAACACTCCCAAATATTCACTACTCACTAGAAATGCTAAACACTGGAAAAATGAAATTTTATACATTTGTTTTCTTAAATATTTGACTAAGATATTCTTCAAAAAGTTAAAACTGCCTTTCACAGAATTTTGTGTGTTTATGGCACAAGTTGACACGCAAAACAGTGTGAATTCCATCAGAAAGGCACTGTTTACAATACTCAGAATAATCTGACAAGTCGACTTCAATGATGTGTGAGTGAAGAATATATTTGAAATAGGTAAATAGACAAATCCTTATAAAAGTACAGCATTACCACTGAAATATACTTAGCTATATAAAAGGAAATAAGGTGACAAAGAGAATGACCCTTTATGACACGCCTATAAACACTGAATCATATTATATAGTTCTGTAACACAAAATAAGTAAAAGTATTTTCTTAAAGGCACAAAAGCGTGAATACTACTAAATGAAGGTTGTTATTTTACAAGGCCAACTTTTTCAATGGAATGGTGACAAAGATTACGCTGTATCTTTATAAATGATACAAAAATGTACTAACGTGAAATACAAGTAAAATATCTATTGCTGAAATTTACTTATTTCACATGCCCTACTTATTTTCTTTTCTTGGGCCAGCTACACCTCACTAAATGGTGAATAACTAAAGACATAGTACATTTAACAATCAAAATAGAAATGCACATGTCAATAATTATTACCTAAATTTTCATGTGAAAAAAATAAGTTTTGATCAAACGAAAAAACAAACCAGGATATAAGGTCTTACATCTGAAAAACCATTATAAAGTTCTCAGACAACTAAGAACTGTAAATCAAAACTTTTATGAATCCCCATGTGAAGAAAGATTAATTCTAGGTAGAGAACATTCAAAGTCAATTACATATATGGCTAACTACAAAGTTAATTATGTGTTTTAAAGGATTCACATACTAAGCCTGGTATAAGTATTGGTCTAAAACTAAGCCACCAATTCCTGAGTTTTGTATTCAGTTTACAGAAAGGAACTCATACAACTAAAAGCATAAGAAGACAATTAGATTAGATATATGCTTTTAGTGTACAAGGAACAGTCATAAGTAACCCTGCTCTTTCTCATGAAATAGGTTTTGACTCCTTGAGTAATAAGAACCCATAACATTTGCCCTAAAAGGAAAATTAAAAAATAAAGAAAATAACTACATTTCCAGTCTCAGAAGACACTTAATACAAATAAACACTATTTAGACCAAATGTAAATAACCTACAAGTGGATAAGACTAAAACCCCAAAATGGGGTTACCAACAAAATTTTAAGTTTTCAGGGTTTAATGATGAAATGACTTTGTGATCAGCCAATCAAGATTATATAATATAAATTAAATACTCATTTAAACCATAAAAAGACCAAATTGTACAATATTTACAAAATATATATCAGTGAGTAGGCAGTTGAGCATACATTGGTAACAGAAAGTAAGTACAAAAATTATATTGACAAGTATGAAATACAAACAAAACCCCCCACCTGTTCTAGTGTAGTCATATTGTATCTGTGCTTACACTGAGTATAGGTACATCTTATTTACGTTCTAATTGATTAAAAAAATGTTTCACATGTACATATGGAATATAGCATTGTTTTGCCAAAAATACACAGGAAATGGCTCTTCATAAAACTTTGGGATATTAAAATAGCTATATTGGTTAGGGGGGGGAAAGGCAGGCTCTTTTTATCATTTTCAATTTTCATAATTTAGCAACCATTCCACAATTTTACATTTATCATGGCATTAAACAGCTAATTGTAATTTTACTTGTGTATAACAGTCTCTTTCTAGTGAAGGCAAATGTAGCCAGAGCAATTATTCTGACTTTATTTTCATTAAAAACCATTTCAAAATTGATACTTTCAGGACTCTTAAGATATATTTTAGAACATGTTCCTAAGCTTAACTTACATTTGCAAAAACTGCTTTTGAGGATTATATTTTTGTAAAAACATAAAAATATTAAACTGAAAAAATATTTAGGAAAAAGCTTGCCTCAGTCTGAACAAAAAGAATCTTGAAGAATTATGGTTTTTCAACAGAATAAACTTACTAAGAACCAAGGAGGAGAATAAAAAAATTAAATTTCAAAACTTGATGCTCTTCTTAGATGCTCAACTTATTGCACATTTTAAAGAAACCAATTTTATTGTACACATAAATGCCACCATACAAAGCTTCTTTTCTTATTGCCTTTCTCTTATTTGGCTTTTGAAGTAAAACGTTGGTTATAATTTCTCCTATTCTACTTATTCACTGAACACACTAGGGTCTAAATGAAAGCTAGAAAAAAGTTTTTCATAAAGAAAAAACATTATTTATAAGCATCTCATATGCCCCATAACAGCGATTTTCAACCAGTGTGCCATGGCAGGCACACTGGTGTGTTGCAGAACATTTTTTGTTTCCCCCGAAAGAATTTTTAAAACATGCAATACCTGACTATTTAGTCAGGGGCACTGACCTCTTTTCCCTTAGACTGTCAAATAAAGAAATGACAACAGCCAACACAATAATAGCTATCTGGTGTGAATGAATCAAAATTATACCTAGTTTTTTTTGTCAGATCAGCAAAAATATATTTTTTGGTGTGCCACAGCATTTTAGTAATTATTGTATGGGTGCCAATAGATGAAAAAGGTTGAAAATTGCTGCTGTATAAACATCTCTAGAATTTGGCCTGTGTTACTGAACTGAGTTTAAAAAAACAAAAGTAAGAAAAAAAGAATAGCAACCAGTTCTGACCACACTTTTATCAGCAAGTGCCTACGGTGGTATTATATAGGTATAAGAAAGATAAAATCAACAGATCCAAGTAGCCACATACCATTTTTATGTTGATATACACGTGTGTGATTTGTACCTGTATCTATAAATACTGAATTCGAGGGGGTAAAAAAATCTTGTGTAAACTTTTAAAAAAGCAAGTTGCCACCTTGTATCTCTCAATATATCAATTTTGACCACACTTTTTCTTGCTTTGTCTAAGACAGCTGAACTAGGTGTTTTGGAAATGATTTTTTAAAAAACAGTACAGTGTATTGAACTATTTATAATATGTCTATTATCCCATCATTTCCTATTTTATAATTTCTTATTGATAAAAGTTTGTGCCTGTTATGCAGAAAATAGGTTACTATACATCTATTTCTAATATTGATAACATTTTGTTATGACCATAAGTGCTATTTCTCAGAACATACTATAGAATACAAAGACTACTTACTATCAGGTATACATAAAACACAATTGTGTGTACATGTGGATTTATTATACTCACATGTAGACACATTCTCACAAAAGCTAGAAATGTTCTGGCACTTAACACATAGTTCACTTTAATAATCACACAGAATATAGCTCTTGTTTCTGGTTAAAGATAAAAGGTATGAAAGGTCAATACCTCTGCATTTATCTCTATGGTTTTGTTTTAGAAATATTGTGATGTTTTAATTAAACCAAACAAACTTGAAAAGTGGTCCCAGGCCAAATCTGAGCATTCCAGTTCATTGATTCAAATAACTATTTAAACATGAAGTTTATTACGACTTGAAGCAAAATCAGGAGGAAAATGATGAAGTAGTCTTTTTGTTGCAGAAAATAATCCGTGGCAGGTGCACTTGAAACCAAATGATTTCGAAGAGCCATAATATTTCTACAAAGATAAGCAATAGTAAATTTTTCAATTATTTATCAAAAATGTTGTCACAGAACTCATAATTTGATATATGGCCACAGGGCACTTAATTACAGTAACAAAAGTAACTAGCTCAATCAATTACTACTGCCGATCAGGGAGCTGATTATGCTATGTGGAGCTAATATTAGGTCTTGTCTAAATCTGTATTTCACATTATACCAAATATAATTAAAGTTTGATGATGTAGAAATATATCATCTTCTATTATTACAGTGCTTTTAAAACAAAAATTTTGCTTCTTAGTTGGCTCACTAAGGTTCTTTATATTTACTTTTGGGACATAAATGTGAAACTGAAGAAAAATCCTAAATCACCCAGGAAAAAACTAATACAACAGATTTCATGACATTCACAACTTAAAGAATGCTCTAGAGGCATTTCGTATGCTAATAAAAATGTCAATTTAGTCATGAAGTGAGTTTAAATATCTCCATGCCACTCTAAATGCTTTTAGCTAAAAAGAACTAATGTGAAGACCTTTTCTTTTTCTGTCTTCTTCTATTAAAGTGTCTTACCAGTATAGAGAAAGAAAAGGAGGCAAAATGAACACGTAGGCTCAATTCATAAATATAATTAAATTAGAAAACTTGAGCACTTTATATTAGGGCTAGTGATACCAAGATGCAGAAGACAGTCTCCCTGCTCAATGGGGTAAACAGACACATACAAAAATAACTGCAGTGCAGTAAGCACTCAAAAGGAATGCATATAGAGCTAAATAAGCTTAGTGGAGGGATTAATAACTCCACAAGGCAAGATGAATAATTAGACATATTACAAAAAGGGTGGCATTTTAGTCATATTCTGAAGGATAAATGAATTTTTATCCGTTTATGGGCAGGGTGGAAAGAAGGGCCATCTAAGAAGTGGATTCAGTGTGGGCAAAGACCCAAAGATGCGAGAGCTGAGTATATTCGGAAGATGTGAGGGGTTTCATAGGATTGGAGCATGGAACAGGTGTAGGGAATGGCAGGAGATAAGGCTGTGAATGAAAACAGCAACCAAATATGAGTCACAACATCACTATGAAGAGAGTAAATATATTTTAAAAAATCCTCCAGAACATCTAGCACTAAGTACTGAATATACCAAAAATTTAATATTAAAAATTTTAACATCTGATCCAGCAATGGGAGGCAATCAATCTTAGCAATGAAGCAGGGTAAGCGTCCTTTTCCCTCCAAGGAACTGCGCAGATGTAATGACCGCTAGCTGCAGGATCGTGGGAGGTGTGTGTGGGGGAAAGGTCTGGGACTGCCAGTGGAGCATATCAAGGTCTCACTGTTATGAAAGTATTTCAGTATTTCAACAACTGGTGCATTGCAATTAAATATTAGCCATGAACAAAGGAGACTGCAGAAGCTTGGTTAATGGACTTTCTCAGAAACCACACCACTTCCACATCCAGCCCAGCTACATTCCTAGTATGCTACAGCAATAAGATAAAGACATTCCAATTTCACCCTCACAGATGAGAAAAAGCAACCCCAGTCCTTCTCCCAATCAGTACTCTAATGCTGAAAGAATTTCATGTATTTCAGTCATCAGGTGGCAGAAGCCAAGGTCCTATTTTAGCTTAGCAACAATATTAAAAATGTAAAGTTTGCCTATGATTTCCTATGTAACAGGATTCTTTAATTCTCTGGACTCAAACGAATAGTCATTATATATTACCTTTTAATTTCTTCCTGTGTTTGTTTTATAGATTCGATGGAATTTTGAATATCTCCCAATTCGATCCCTTTCTTTCTTCTTGTACTTGGTTTTACTGATTGAGCTAAAAGAATATTTAGAATAAACTTTGTGAAAATAGTGAACATATTTAATTATAAACAATCTACATTTAACTTAATGATTCTAATGGGATAAAACATTTCCCAGGCACCATTAACATAATAATATAAATACTTTGAACCTTTGAAGTTTCAATCACATCATTCCAAAATTAGAACACTATAGATTTATTTAAAGTAACCACAAATTAGTTAAATTTTGGATGGCATCTGTTTTATTTTTGAACTAACTTAATAGACAAAAAAATAGCTCATTAAAATACATATGTTAATTTGGGGAAGGTATTTACTCTCTTCTGTCTCTGGCCCATTTGCCTACATCTGAGGAAGTCAGCTTTTTGAGCGCCCTTTTCAGTTTTATATTAATAAATGTTATGTTTATTCCTCTAGTCATCCAAACTTTAAACCTTTTTAATTGGTTTTGATACCTTTTCTACAAATTTTTATTGTCACCAGCAAATCTTATTGTTTTTTTTTCCAATTCCCCTTATATATATCTATTCCTTCTTTTCCATTTTTGTTCAGATCTTAACCTCTCTCCAGGTCTCCAAGTTTCTCATTTGTAAAATTAGGATAAATAACACCCAAACTTCATATGGTTGTAGTAAGGTGTGTTTAACATCCAGATTCGCACACTTAGGTACTCAGTAAATGGCAACTGATACATTATAGGTAACATTGTGGAGGGATAAGAGAAGAGAGTGAATTAAGGAGCCAAAATATCTGCTTATATAACATATATACTGCCTTATGGGATATGTGGCCTTGGGCAGGTTACCCTGTGTTTTAGTTTCCTTCTCTCTAAAATGAGAACAACATTGTAACACTCTCTCTAGCACATGGGAACCAATAAACTCCTGCTTTTAAACCTTTATTCAGTTTATTCCTCTTGACTCTAGTAGCTTGTCCCCTACCTTCATTTCTCAAGTCTTGATTGTTCTAATTTATTATAAATTCATCAAGGTTGTGCTAAGAACATTCCCTCAAATTGAATTCAGCTACCTTTCCTTTCAACTCTTAACTATTTTTCTTCTACTAATTTCCTGGCATTTATCACATATTCACCTCTAGTGTTATCTCTGTAAAAATGAGCTTCCCAGTTTAAGGTGAGCTAAAGGACTATGCCTTTATAAAAAACTTTATTTTCTCATAGTGTCTCAGACATTACCTTAATCCTTTCTTGATTATATCTCAGTGTCATTCAACAAAGTTTATATATTATTTGACTTGAACAAGAATGACGCATTAGTTAATTTAGTCCTTAATTTTGATATAGTTATATTTTTATTTGTCTGTGACTTCTAAACACCACAATAATTGATTCTGAGAATGAAAAACCTTTTTGAAGCACGGAACTAAGCTCAAAGTTCAAACAATGTTCTGTATTGAATCTATGAAGCCATCAACAGTATTTCAGAAGCTAATAAGGCATAAGAGCCACACTACAGTGTGGTTCTTGATTTGCATGTTTCCCCCTTTTTTTTATACCCCATGACTTTACCTATGGCCTGGTCTTGAAATTTATTTATTATCTAAAATAGAAACCATCACTGCCTCCACCAAAACTTTTACATATCTTCTAAAGTTAATATAAAAAAATTTTCATCTATCAAACATGGTATAGTAATATCCTTTTAAAAATTTAGACTCTAATAGTGAACAATCTGCAATAAATATTTTTACCTTCGCTTCCAGATGAGTCCTGGATATCAGGTTCTGGGGACGAATAGCCTTTTGCCACTTTCTTCTGTTGCCTGGTTGGTTTATGTTTCATCTTTGGGACACTAACCTGAAAAAAATCATGCTATTATGTGAATTTGCACTGAATTTTATAATTGAAAACCAATGTACAACTGTCAAAACTATCTGTTCAATGGTACAATATTTAGACATAACAACAAAGATGAGCCCTTGTCACTGTGGCTCAGTTGCTTGGGTTTCATCCCATGCACCGAAAGGTTGCTGGTTTGATCTCCAGTAGGGGAGGTGCTGGAGGCAGTCGATGGATGTTTTGCTCTCACACTGATGTTTCTCTCTCTCTAAAAATTAATTTAAAAAAATTTAATAATAAATAAAAAACAAAATAAAATAGTTTGATTAAAAATTAACAAATAAGGCCCTGGCCAGTTTGGCTCAGCGGTTAGAGCGTCGGCCTGCGGTCCGGAGAGACCCGGGTTCGGTTCCCGCTAAGGGCACGTTCTTCGGTTGCAGTTTGTCCCCGGCCTGGTCGTGCGGGTGGCAGCCACTCGATGTGTCCCTTCACATCGATGTTTCTCTCTCTCTTTCCCTTCCTCTCTCTCCCTCCCACTCTTTCTGTACAAAAAATGGAAAAATATCCTCGGGTGAGGATAAAAAAAAAAAAAATTAACAAATAAGATATAACATACTTATATAATACAATTATTTACTTTAATGTTTTTTATCCTCACCCAAAATATGTTTATTGATTTTAGAGAGACAGAAAGGGAGAGGTAGGGAATGGCGGGGCCGGGGGAGAGAAAGAGAGAAACATTGATATAAGAAACATCTATCAGTTGCCTTCCATATACACCCAGACCAGGGATCAAACTTAGGTATACGCCCTGACTGGGAATTAAACCTGCAACCTTTTTTTTTTTTTAATTCGGATAGAGCAGGAGGGAAAGAGGGAGGAAGAAAGAGAGAGAGACATCGATGTGAGAAGGACACATCTACTGGTTGCCACCCACACAACCCCAACCAGGGCTGGGGACAAACTGCAACCGAGGTATGTGCCCTTAGCAGGAACCGAACCCAGGACTCTCTGGTCTGCGGGCTGACGCTCTAACCGCTGAGCCAAACCGGCCAGGAAAAACCTTTAACCTTTTGGTGTATGGGATGACACTCCAACCAACTTAGCTACTTGGCCAGGGCTGTTTTATTTAATTTTAATAGAAAATATTACTTTGGCACAAATATCAAAAAGTATACAATGAAAAGTTTCCCTCCCATTCCTGATCTATCCCCCTCCCATAAATACATACACTGCTATTATGTTTATCCTTCAAAAGACATTTTAATGCAAATACAAATATAAATATAGATCTCCCACTTTTCTAACTGCACCAATTAGTAGCTCTAGTTGAATGTTAAGCAACAGTGTTCTTTTTAACCATGCTTATCTTGTTCCTAACATATAAACATTTCTACTGAATGATGTTGTGTTACCATCAACTAGGACTAAATTTACCTTAGAATAATAAACTTTAGACTTTATTCTATTAAGAAGCTTGCATTTTTTGGAAATAACCCTTAAATTTAAAAACTAAAATGCAAGAGAAGAAACTAGGATCAGAAGGGCAAGGTAATTTACATGCTTAGAAAAAAAGGAAACCAGTACTCATATGCCTTTAACTCTATTCTTACTTATTTACTGTTCTAAATAGGAACTGTCTCCTATTATCCATTCCTTGAAATAATTTTGCAAAATATTATTCATGTGCTTAAATAAAATTTTCTATAATTTTATTATAGAAAATAAATAATAAGGAGGCAGGTTGTGTATTCAGCCTACATTGTGTCCTGGAGACTTAGAATTGTGTAACATTTAGAAATTTAAGTCCACATTCTTAGAGTAGGTTCAAATTAGAAATTGATGATGACTGGTGAGAAGCTATTTAAAATGACAAAGAGATTCAGCAATCCAACTCTAATATACAAAGGTTTACTGTGATCAGTAAGCTCTACCTTTAGGAGGAAATGCAGATGACCTGTGTCTCATGTTAGTGTTGATAAAAAGAAAGAAACATTTAAGTATTTTTTTAAATTTCTAAATTATGATAACATGTGTGTGTATATACATACACATATACAATAACTCTTGCCATTTTAATAATTTTTAAGTGTATAATTCAGTAGTATTCAGTACATTCACAATATTGTGTAACTATCACTGTTACTTCCAAAACATGTTCATCATTCCAAAGAGACTCTGTAATGATTAAACAATTACTTCTTTCTTCTCCTTCACTCAGTCCCTAGTAAAATTGAATCTATGAATTTACCTATCTTATATTTTATATATATGGAAGTTTTTGATAACTGATTCAATCTCTTAACTTGTTATAGGTCTGTTGAAAATTTCTATTTCTTTTTGAGCCAGTTTATAGAATTTATGTGTTTTTAGGAATTTATCCATGTCATCTTGGTTACTTAACTTGCTGGCATAAAATTGTTCATAGTGTCCTCTTATAATTCTTTTTATTTCTGTAAGATCAGTAGTAATGGCCCCACTTTAATTTCTGATTTTAGTTATTTGTGTCTTTACTCTTTTTTACTTAGTCTAGCTAAAGGTTTGCCAATTTGTTGACCTTTTCAAAGAACCAACTTTTAGCTTCATTGATTCTCTCTTGTTCTTCTATTCTCTAGTTTGTTTATCTCTGTTCTACATTTTCTTCCGCTAGCTTTGGGTTTAGTTTTTATTTTTTTCTAGTTTCCCACTATTACATTAAGCTATTGAGATCTTTCTTCTTTTTGAATGTTAAGCATTCACAGTTATATATTTCCCTTTGAGCACTGCCTTTGCTGCATCTTACAAGTTTTGGTATGTTGTGTTTTTGTTTTCATTAATTTAAGTGTTTTCTAATTTCACTTGTGATTTCTATTTTGATTAATTGGTTATGTTCATTTCCACATATTTGTAAATTTCCCACTTTTCCTTCTGTTATTAATTTCTAGCTTCATTCACTGTGGCTAAAAAAATTACTTTGAATGTTTCAATATTTTGAAAAAAATAGAGACATGCTATATGCCTTAACATATGGTCTATCCTGGAGAATGTTTCATGTGCACTTGACAAGAATGTATATTCTGCTGTTATTGGGTAGACTATTCTACATATATCTGGTAGGCCTAGTTGATTTGTGTGGCTCAAACCTTCTGTTTCCTTACTGATCTTCTCTCTAGATGTTCTATTCATTAATAATTAGTTGTGTCTTGAGATCCAATGTGTGTCTCTCGTAGACAACATACAGTTGGATATTTATCTTAATCAATTCTGCCAGCTTGCTTTTTGATTGGAGAATTTAATCCACTTATATTTAATGAAATTAATGATTAAAAAAGACTTCTGCCATTTTACTGTTTTCTGTATGTCTTACACCTCTTTTTGTTCCTCATTTCCTCCATTACTACCTTCTTTAGCATTTAGTTGATTTTGTTTTATAGGGAATTGTTCTGAATACCTTTTTATTTCCTTTTGTACATGTTTCAGATATTTTCTTTGTGGTCACTATGGGGATGACACTTACATCCAAATTTATAACAATCTATCTTGAATTGATACCAATTTAATTCCAATAGCACACAAAAACGTTGCTCCTATATAGCTCATCTTCCATCCCTGTATGTTGTTGTCATAAATTATAGTTTTATATGCTGTATGCCCAATAGCAGACTTGTCATTATTATTTATTCATTTTTCTTGAAATAAAGAGCAAAGTTATACATTAAAACTATAACAACACTGGTTTTTATATTTGCCTATTTGTCTTTACTGAAAATCTTTATTTTTCATATGGCTTTGAGCATCATTTCAATCTGAAGAACTACCTTTAACACTTCTTGTGTGACAGGTCTAGTGGCAGTGAACTCTCTTGGCTTTTGTTAATCTGGAAATATCTCAATTTTTTCTTCATTTTTGAGAGACAGTTTTACCAGATACAGAATTCTTGGTTGCGAAGTTTTTTCTTCCAACATTTTAAGTAAGTCATCTCATGCCTTCTTATCGAGGATCCCTCATATGTGACAAGTTGCTTCCCTCTTGATGCTTTCAAGGTTCTCTTTGGCTTTTGACAGTCTGCTTATTATGTCTTGGTGTGGGTCTCTCTGAATTTATCCTACTTGAAATTTGTTGCACTCCTTAGATCTGTAGGTTCATATCTTTTACTAAATTTGGGAATCTGGAGGACTGCTTTCTTAAAATATTCTTTTGCTTCTTTCTCTTCCTCTATTATTTCTGTGACTCCCTTAATGCATATGATGATCCACTTAGGCTCTGTTCACTTTTCTTTCTCTTCCTCAGACTAGATAATTTCAAATTGTTCAATTTCTAAATTTGCTGATTCTGCTGTTGAATATCTCCAGTGAAGTTTTCATTTCTATTATTGTATTTTTAAGCTTTAGAATGTGTTAGGTTCCTTTGTATAATTTCTTTTTAATGCTATTCTGATTTTGTTAATACATCTTTTTCTTGATTTCCTTTAGTTCTTTGTCCCTATTTTCTTTAACTCTTTGAGGATACTGAAAACAGTTGTTTTAAAGTTTTTGTCTGGTAAGTTTGATGCCTGGACTTCATCAGGAATTGTTTCTGTCAATTTGTTTTATCCCTTTTAATGAGTCATACTTTCCTGTTTCTTTGTATGCCTTATAATCCTTTGTTGAAAACTGGACATCAACATATTATAATGTGGTAACTGGAAACAAGATTCTTCACCTTCCCCAGGGTTTGCTATTTTCTGGATTGTTGAATTTGCTCAGTGAATTTTTCAAACTAGTTTTGAAAAACAAACAAATGAACTGTATTCCTTGTTGTGCATGGTCACTAAAATCTGTTTCTTAGATGTGTTAAACTAGTATTCTGACAGAGATTTCCTTGAAAATTAATAGCTAAACAAATAAAAATAAAAGACAAAACCAAAAAATACTCTCCCAATCTTAGAATGACTCTATGCAGGGGCACTCAATGTTAATACCTGGGCTTGCAGGTCTTTTCTCAGCATAAATATCTTGCCTTGGACATTTGCATGGCTTTCCAAATTTCCCTGTACACATGGGGCTTTTCAATGCTCTAGTTTGCCAAAGATTCTTTCCGTAGCTTTTGTTCCTGGGCCTTATATGATCTATTGTATATTTCAGTGGTAATATTTTGACCTGAGTATCTGCAGTTTGTTAGTTTAGTTTGTAATGCTTCCACTCATTGCCTACAGCCCATCTAGCTGAGCTCTGAGTTAGATGAAATAGAAGAGACATGGGTCCTGCGTAAGTACTTCAGGTAGCCCCTGACAGATTAAAATAGATGTACAAAACAATCTGTGAGTAAAGTCTGCTCTACTCCTTCTGGAACCAGAACTCACACTGGGGATGTGGGAACCTGCCACTACCTCAGGAAGGGACTGAGGACAGAGCAAGTGAAAATGCCTTTAAGCTTTCCTATTGCTTTGAAGTCATCTCTTTCTTGATTCAGTGTTCATTTAATTACTGCAAACCTCTGTTTACAAGAGTTCTGGGAAATTTGGTTCTCACAGTTTCTGCTTGCTTTTCTTTGTTTCTTTGGGTGGGGGATAAGAGCTCAGACCTGCCTATCTGGCCATTTTGCCAACAAATATTTTAAATTTTGAAACCACATTTTAAATGTTGGTGGCCAAAAATCCTAGTAAAAATGTAAAACATTTATATGCCTAGCAGATATAGATACAATTTTATTACATACCATTGGAGTACGATGTTTCACTTTGGTTTGGATAACACCATCTTTTTCAAACTGTATCATATCATTAAGTGGGTCCCATGGTCGAGTACTACATAAGCAAACAACACCATTTGTTTAATGACTAAACAAAACACTCAAAAGCTTTTTCAAAGTTTAGATTAGGTTTTCTTTAATAATTACAAACCTAACTGTAAGATTAAGATTTGTCACATCTAGTCTTCTAATTATCAGCTTATTTTATAGACTACTATTATGGAGTAAAATTTATAATTAATGGAACATCAAGTTTAAATGACATACATACATATATATGTGTGTGTGTGTGTGTGTGTGTGTGTGTATATATATGTGCCGTATATACATATGGCTTAATAAAAAACTAACAACAAAAATTCTAGAAATAAAGGCAACAGATTATGCTGATAATTACTTACTCTGCAAACTTGTAATGCCATTCTCCTGTGAGTGGATCAAGTTCAAATAACTTGCAAGTCCACTCTTCATTTTTTGTTTTCCGATCTCTGGTAGATTGTCTTTGAGCTTCCTCTAAAATGTACTTCTCTTGAGTAGCTTCTGTTTGGTCTTTCGCATTTATGGCTCGAGTTACTCGCTGCCAAAGTCTAATACAGATGCAAAAGCAATATAAAAAGACAACAGAAAATCAAATCTACACTGAATAGGTTTAAATCCCCCTGGGGGAAAGTGACACTCATGTGGGTTTTTGTCTTCGATGAAGCTTGTACTGAGATACTTATAAATGAGTGCAGATATAAAAAGTGGTCCTTGAGTAGAGCAACACAGTGGAGACTAATTTTTTTTTCCTGGCAAGAGAAATGTATTACATGGGCTCTTAAACAAGTGGCAATAAATGGTGCTGATCCAAGATGACAGGAATGTAAATAAAGGCTCAATAATCTAAAGGTTTAACAAGCTCCCCAGAAGATTCTTTTTTTTTTGTTTGTTTGCTTTTTTGTTTTTAATCCTCACTCAAGGATATTTTTCCATTTGTCTTCAGATATAGTGGGAGGGAGGGAGGGAGGGAGAGAGAAAGAGACTTCAACATGAGAGAGACACATTGACTGGTCACCTCCTGCACAATCCTGACCAGGGCCAGGGACTAAACCACAACTGAGGTATGTGCCCCTGGCTGGAATAGAACCTGCGACTCCATGGTCCACGGGCCAACGCTCCAACTGCTGAGCCAAACCAAACCGGCCAGGGCTCCCCAGAAGATTCTTATAAATACTATTTCAGACCAACTGGCCTCAAAGATCCAATATTGTAATGCCATGCTTCTCAATCTTGAATGTGGGAATTATCAAGGAACTCTTAAAATCAGAATCTCTGGTAGTGGGCCCATGTATTTTTTCTTTTAAATGTTTCCCAGGCGATTTTAATGTGCAGCTAGTGTTGAGAACCACTGATTTACCAGAAAAGACTACTATGGTAAAATCTTTCCCCCTAAAGTTTAATTTTATATCATAAAAATGTAATATCTATATTCCACTAATCTGGGAAGATAGCATGTTGGGACTGAAAGAACAAAGGCTTTGGAATTAGACTTTGGTTGAATCCTAGATCTGCCACTTCTGGGATGGTGAACTTAAAGTTACTTATCCTACCTGAGACTTGTTTTCTTCATTCTTAAAATACAATAAATTATGTTTACACCTCAAAACTTATTGTATACCTTGGAAAAGTTTCACTCTGAATGAAGAACACCATGTGGTTACAACTGAAACGGAATTTTAAGACTAGTACATACATATTAGTCCATCTTTGACAACTTCAATATATTTTTTTTAATCCTCATCTGAGGATACACTTCCATTGATTTTAGAGAGAGAGGAAGAGAAAGGGAAAAGAGAAACATTGATGTGAGAGAGAAACATTGATCAATTGCCTCCCGTATGTGCCACAACCTGGGTAGGTATCGTGACTGGGATTCAAACCCACAACCTTTCAATGTACAGGATGACGCTCCAACTGAGCCACACCAGCCAGGCCACAACCTTAATTCTGAGCGCAGAAGACAAGTACACGAACACTTGAATCCCATTAGAGAGTATAACACATATGACAACATGTAGTGAGGACTAAACTGCATAATATCTGTACAGGACCCAGGCTGGTGTCTTTTACATGGACGCCCCCTTCTCCTAACACAAAGAAATACAGTAAGCATAAAATTTGTCAGTGTGTATAGAGTATATTTGGTTCAAAAGTATTATAAATCTAGCAAGAATTTCACGACTTTAAGAGCAGCAACTATGGCCGTAATTGTTACTAAAGTAATGCAAGCCCTGTAGAAGTCTGCACATGCAGTGGCATTATTCATGTATTTTAGAAAAATGAAATAAAGTAGACTTTGTGCCACATCCTCCACCTAGAGTCCTATATGCCTTACCCAGGTCAGAAAACAGCTGCCAAATAAAACCCAAGAATCTTTACTTAGTCCCATAACTGTATCCAGACAAACTAGAAGTTCAGTTCTAATAGGCCCTGGAGCAGATAAGAAAGAGGAAAAATAGGAAGTTTTATCGTTGAACTGCAAAAAAAATCATGATTTGTATTATATTTACTTGACATTTACATAAACTAAAACAGAATCCTGTCACATCTCACAAATACTAAACTATTTTGCTGAATTAAAATATGACTGAAAGCAGAGGAAAGTGACCACACTTTTGAAGGATTAAAAATATACTCTTTATCATTATGAAATGAGCTGAAAAATGGTATACTTACTTCTCTGATTCAAAGTCTCCCTGCTCTTCAAATTTTACAGTATGCCTTATTAATCTCCATTGTTTAATGTCTGGTGTTGGATTCCAGAAAACCTCTGAATTATCAGTCTTTTTGTCATTAATAAAAACTTCACTATCCTATATTTAAAGAAATTAAACATTAATGTAGAGAATATCTTTATTTAAAAGATGATTATATAGTATAGTACTATATACTATAATACTTCCTGATACTTAATCCCACAGTTAAAAACATTTAAAAACAAATATAACCAGTACTTTCTAAAAGCCCCAAATCTTTTTGTCATTTTTAGAAAAGCAGTAAGATTAAACATATAATACTATAATTTTAAAATTTTACTGAATACGTAGGAAGTTCGAGAGATTTCACGTTTTACTTATAAACAAATTTCAAACAGTTCTTTGCAGAGCCTTGCAACCATCTCTGAATTGCCAAAGGGGACCACAGTGTTTGCTAACAGCTACCAGGAGACGCAGTGTGTAATAGTCATTTACACTCAACATATGTAGAAAAACCTGAAAAAGCCTTTTCTAGCATTAAAAATTTGAGCACAATCTAAAAATTTTCATTAAAAAACATTTTAATATTTTACAAATAATATTTAGATAGAAGTACATTTAAAATATTACAGAGGGTATGTGGCCTCATAGAGTCTTAGATCCAGTTTCATTTTCTTACATCTTATTATTTTCTGCTTATCATACTGTATAAAATAGTACACTCAATGTTCCCAGTGACAGTGTGACTAGACATCAGCATGATACGATTCTTTTTATTCATTTAAACTTCGCTTAACAAAATTACATAGATGTGAATTTAGGTCAACAGAGAAGTAAATAAAGACCATTGTTCTCATTTACTACAACAACCTTTCTGTGTCCCTGCAAAGGAAATAGAACTGAATTGGGAATGCCCCTTCCTCCTAGGTGGAAGGCAGTATAAAAGCACAGCCCTGGAGCCACAGAGCCTAGGCTGGAACTCTCACTCCACCATTTATTTTCAATAAATGATTTCTGTGCTTTAGTGTCCTCTGTAAAATGGGGACAATAACAGTACCCACCACATAGAGTTAATATATTAAATATTAAATGAGCTAACATGAGGAACATTTTTAAACAATGCAGTACATAGTAAGTGAGATATAAGTGTTACAGATTTAAAGTTTTAGAAAGGTAAAATATTATGTACAACTAGATATTATTGGTAACAGAACAACACCAAAATATTTGTCAAGCTGAAGCTTATGTTAGATAGTGATATTTGCAATGGAATGAGTTTATAAAATGTGGTTGTTAATTTTTTTCCATAGAATAAAATTCTTTTGTTAAGCTAAAACATAAAAATACTTACCCAATGGCCTTCCAAAGTAGCTAAGACTTCTTTTCCCAGTTTAAGTTTCCCTGATATTTGATTAACACAGTCACTACTTCCTAAAAATGGCTTTTAAAAGAGAAAATGTTAAATAAACATTTTGCTTTTAACTTATATTTAGATACAATGTAGACAAAAACAACAGAAAAAGTAACTGCATACTTATAATGCTGTTGAAGGCACAAATGATAAATACCGACTCAAATTTTAGTCAGAAATGTCCAATAAAAGGAAGTCTGTAATTTGTTGCTATGGAAAAAATAGGTTTAAAAAACACAGACTATGTGAAGTTCAAATAAAGTTATTAAGAAAGATCACACTGATATAACTAACTCAAGATTGTGCTCTATCAATGTTGCAATATAGAAAGCAAAAATAACTCAGTAAACCTAAAGGGCTTAACTTATCTATTAAAAGAAATAACACCCCCCCCCCTTCAAAATAAAACAGTAAACTACTCAATACAAGAATCCCTCTAAAAATTAAATTAGAAGTACACTTTGAGTTACTATGTTGCATTACTGATGTTTCTCCTCTGTGACAAAATGTTGGTGCTCCAATTTAATCCTTAAAGGTGTCATAAGTTACTTAAGACCTTTTTAGTCATGATTTTCAAATATTATTATCACCATACAAATAAATTTGTTATGAAAAAAAATCAAACAAAGGGCATTGCATCTAATAATAGTTTAAGAGGTCCTTTTTATTACAGAAAAGTTGCTAATTAGCTGAGTCTCAATATGGATGCCAATAATAAATATTAAATAGTACATAGAAATATTTTTATCTGAACATAATGCAGTCTTATACCAACAACGGACACTGTGAAGGTCTTAACTTTCCCTTTCACTCTAAGGCAGACAGGATTTTCCAAAGACTGTCTCAAGCATATCTATCCTTCCCCCTCCAGTCCACATGCTCTTCCTCAGTGGTACTTTGCCATCCTCCCCCTGAGAAGTGGAGTCTATACCCTTGAATTTGGGTAGATTTATAATTCTTCAACAGAGGGTGGTAGAAGTGATATCATTTGACCTTTGAGGCAAGGTCATGGATGGTGATGCAGCTTTCACCTTACTCACAAGGACACTTGCATTTGGAACCCTGAGCTGCCAGCTGGTTAGTCTAATTGTCTTGAAGCTGCCAACTGGCTGTGAGCAAGCCAGGCTACATGGAAAGGCCACGTATACCGGTGTTCAGATTAGCAGTCCTGGTCCTTCAGTCATCCCAACCAGGCATCAGCCACATAACTAACTGATGAGCCTTCAGATGGCTCCAGGCCCCAACTGTTGAACCACTCACGTAACCTGCAAGTCTTCCCAAACAGAAGCCCCAGATATGACGCAGCAGAGATAAGCCATCTCCAATACATTCTGTCCAAATTCCCAACCCATAGAACCCCTAAGGATCAGAAAATGGTTCTTTTTAAGCTGGTGAGTTTTAGAGTAAACTGTTAGGCAGAAATAGTAACTAACAATTCTATCTTAGTGTACATAGCTATAGCTCAAGCAGATACATCGTTTTTAGTATTGTGTAAAGCAATGTTTAATTTACTGAAAAATTTCCATCTATTTACTTCTTAGATCTCATCTCTTATATAATGCCAACCATTTTATTAATTAAAATAAAAAATGATGGCTTTGTGATTTAGCTCTTCCAAGGATGCCCTTTTATGAATTCTGTCCTTATATTTAGTCTTTAATTAGAAACTAAATTGTGTTCTTTGTTTAATATTTATATCACAGCTTCTCTTTAATTAGGTGATACCTCCTATTATTCTCTACTAACCTTTAGTTTAAATTCAAGTACTGCACTGTATCCAGTTTTTTGACATGTAATATTGACTGTTCCACCAAGCTCCAGTGTCATTGTGCCATAAAGAATTCCTAAAGAAAAAAATCAATTTTGACAAAAGGTTGAAAAGAAAGACATTAGCCGGGCTTTAAAATGTAATTTCCTTCTAGAAGAAAATAATAATGCAAGGGTATTCTATCCTATCCCACTCAATAACAATCTATAATATGCACATAAAGTTAGTTCTGTAGGATTTGAATAGATAATAGTTGATCCACATTTGCAGACTCTATATCTGCATATTCACATGCTCACAAAATATATTAGTAATCTCCAAATCCTACCCAGCACTTTTGCAGTCATTCATGGACATGGCAGAGTGGCACAATTTTGAGATGTCCAATGCACACATTCCTAGCTGGTGTTGAACAAGGCGACACTCTGCCTTCTTGTTATCTCTCTCAGATGGTAAATAGTCTTTTCTGCCGCACATTCACTGCCACATTTTTCACATTGTTGTGCTTTTTGTTGATGATTTTACTGTTTAAAATGGCCCCCAAATGCAGTGCTGAAGTACTGTCTAGTGTTCCTAAGCACAGAAGGCTGTGGTGTACTTTTCAGAGAAAACGTGTGTTAAAATTTGGTCCTGACATGAGTTATAGTGCTGTTGGCTGTTAGTTTAATGCTACTGAATCAATATTATATATTAAATAAGGTGACTTTAAACAGAAACAAGGTTATGCATTTACTGGTTGATAAACATGTGACAAGAGGCTCATAGGAAGTATTTCCCCTATGAGCAATGGCTTAGTACTTGTCAATTCAGTATTTGTGGTGACTTTATAGAACATAACTACTGCAAATAATAAGAATCATAAGACAAACAAATACATCCCCCCCAAATAGGTTCTGTGGCTAAGAGCTGGGGAAATTCTGAGTTTAACAAAGTTAAACAAAAATTGTGTGTGTGTATCTTTTCCTGGAACATGCTGTCAAGGCAGTCTTAATATGCAAACACACATTGCTCATTTCCAAGAGGGGAACAAACTATGCAAGTCTTCTGATTCTTATTTGGCTATGAAACTCTTAATTTTGTAAACCAAGACTAGTGATTTAGAGAACACATCTTAGAAAATACACAGGGTAGAAAAGAATCAGTATTTCCTACGTTCATTCATAAAGTGTTACAATCTCTTCTTTTTCCCATGCAATAAAAACAATGCTATGAAAAAATTTCCCCCTGTTGCAAGCTGGGTATTGTATTGGGTATCTACGTGTGATTTGAAAATATATTTATCAATTGATTAATAATTTCAGATATTTCATTTCACATGTATTTCAAGAACCACACATGAAGCTCTAAGAACTGTCTAGCCGTAGGCCACCCGCTGGTCATTTTTATATTCAGTACTAGGTAGATTCATGGTACAGTAGATGGGAGTCAACAAGCCTAGAGTTTAGTCTCAGGATTCTTACTAACTAGCTGGTTTGGCCTTGGATAAGATACTTAACTTGCTCAGTTTTCTCATCTGTGAAATGAGGTCATATTAAGTAAGTTCTATGTTTTCACGTATCAGTTCCTAAAACAGAGGATAATTACCAAAACTAGTTATTTTTAAGAAATGGGCTGGAGCCCTGGCCAGTTTGGCTCAGTGGTTAAAGCATCAGCCAGTGGACCATAGAGTTGCAGGTTTGATTCTGGTCACGGACATATACCTCAGTTGCAGTTCAGTCCCTGGCCCTGGTTGGGGTCATGTTGGAGGCAACCAATTGATGTGTCTCTCTCATGTCGATGTTTCTCTCTATCTCTCCTTCCCATTCTGTCTGAAAATAAATAGAAAAATATACTAAGGTAAAGATTTTTTCTAAAAAATAAATGGGTTGAAAAGGAGGATACAGAAAATGACCAACTGGAGTGTTCACGCTGATGCCCTACAGCACAGTAGTTTAGATTGTGGGATCTTGACTCTGCCACATCCTAGCTGTGTAATATCAGGCAAAGTAACCTCTTGGTGCCTCTTTTCACTGTCCATAAAACAAGGATAACAGTACCTACTTTAGCCCTGGCCAGTTTGGCTCAGCAGTTAGAGCGTCAGCCTGCGGTCCGGAGATACCCGGGTTCGGTTCTCGCTAAGGGCACGTACTTCGGTTGCAGTTTGTCCCCGGCCCTGGTTGGTCGTGCGGGTGGCAGCCACTCGATGTGTCCCTTCACATCGATGTTTCTCTCTCTCTCTCCCTCCCACTCTATCTGTACAAAAAATGGAAAAATATCCTCGGGTGAGGATAAAAAAAAAAACAAAAAAAAAAACAGTACCTACTTTATAAGGGCTCCTGGAATGCTTGAGTTTATAAATATAAAGTGCACAGAATAGCTGGGTGCTTGGACTGTTGTAAATAATAGTTATTTTAGTATCTGTATCTGTATTCTAAATAATGGGAAAAAAATTATAATACACTAACTTTTAAGAACTTTCCAAATGAGGATAAAAAAAAAATTTAAAGCACTTGGTACACTGAAAAACAGTAAATTAAAATCTCAAAATCTGGTGATGGTGCAAGATGATGAAAATCACCTTTGAGAATTCTGAAATACTGGATAATCTCATCAAATTTTATTTTATTTTATCCTCACCTGAGGACATTTTTGCATTTACCTTCAGATGGAGCAGGACGGAGAGAGAGAGGAAGAGAGAGAAACACTGACGTGAGAGAGACACATCGAGTGGTTGCCACCCACACAACCCCAACAGGGGCTGGGGATGAACTGTAACGGAGGTATGTGCCCTTAGCAGGAACTGAACCTGGGACTCTCTGGTCCGCAGACTGACATTCTAACCACTGAGAAAACCGGCCAGGGCAAATTTTAAAACGTGCACTTAAGGCAAATGAAATTCCATTACTGTAATCAGCCTCTTCCAACTAAATTATGTGTCAGGAAAATCCATTGTAGATTAATTAATTCACCACAGAAATACTTAGCATATGACAGCAATAATCTGAAGTATCTGTAAAACAAGGATGCTTTAAAACACAAGACTGACTTCATAAATCTCAAAACATAATAAATTATAGCCATATACATTTATTTAAAAAGGTTTCAGGAACATCTCACTCCAGTATGGAAAATAGTTACCTTTACAATGAGCATATGGCATTGTCATTACATAATCTTCGCCTCTATTCAAGAAAGTTAATCGTGCTTCTCCATCTAATATTGCAGATAATGAGTTTCCTAAAATAAATAATGTTTATTAAATTTCATAGAACTAATTAAACCAACTCAAAACAAATTAAATATATTTAGAACACCTACCAGACATCTACAGTGGAATGTCTTAAAAATAAAAATGTCTCAATTTCAATGTGCCTAAACATATATTTGTTACCTTATATCCAAAACATATTTGATCTATATCTTCATTCTTATAAAATGAGCACTTTTAAAAGTACAGTTATGTGCTTATTTATGTTAATTTATAAAAGGCTTTTAAGAAAAATCTTAAACATTTAGAATATGCAATAAAACAGTCTCACTGTATAGCTTAATTTGTACATCTTTGAATAAAAACATTATTTCTTCTGCAAGTCACATTACTTAGTTAAGTCCCAAGCTTTAAGTATTTTTGACATAAAAATGCTATACTATAGATACTTTAGAAAAATAAAAATATACATAACCCATAACCCATGTAATCAATGATAAAATTTCTAGTTATTTTCTTCTAGCTGTTCTTCCATATGTATTTCTCTTCCCCCCATCATCAGTTTTATTGAAGTATAACAATTTACATATAATAAGTGACCTTTTGATAGTCTTGTCGATTGTATACAGTCATGTAACTACCATGACCACAATCAATATACAGAATTTTCCATCACTCCAAAAAAGATTTTCCCTTGCTCCTTGGCAGTTAATGCTTTCCTCCAGCTGCAGGAAACCACTAGTCTGGTTTCTATCACTATAGTTTTGTATAGATGGCACCATAAAATATGTAGTTTATTGTGTTTGACTTCTTTCACTTAGCAAAATGTTTTTTAGATTCATTCATGCTTTTGTGTCAACATTTCCGGCTATTTTAACAATATTAAAAAATCTAATATATAAACATAGTGTTCTCTCTCCAGTTAATTAAATCTTCTCTAATTTTCTTCAGCATTGTTTTGTAGTTTTCAGTGTGCAGGTCTCACATATCTTTCATTAAATTTAATCCTAAATATGTTATTTTGCAGATACTATTGTAATCAAAGTTGTTTTTCAAATTTCATTCTGCAAATGTTCATTTGGTACAATTATGTTTTTGTATTTTGACCTTATATCCTGCAACCTACTAAATTTACTTAATAGTCTTAGTAGTTTTTGATATATTCTTAAGAATTTTCTATATAGATCAGGTATGTACATAATTTAACTTCTTCCTTTCTAATCTGTATGCTTTTTAACTTGCCTACTGCACTGGCTAAAACCTCTAGTACAATTTAATACAGAAGTAGTGAAAGTAAATATTTTTACCTTGTTCCTGGTCTTAGATAAAAATTATTCAATTTCCTCTTTAAGAGTATGAAGTTGGCTACATGTTTTTCATAAATATCTTTAATCTAGTCCTAATCTGTTGACAGCTTTTATTGTGGATGGGTATTTGATTTTGTGAAATGCATTTTCTACATCTCTTAAAATGATTTATGATTTTCCTTTATTCTATTAATACGAATTACATTGATTTTTAGATGATATACCAACCTTATATCCCTGAGATAACCCCTCTTAATCATGACACATTATCCTTTTACTTAAAAAACTTTTTTTCTTTATTGATTTTAAAGAGAGAGGAAGAGAGAGGGAGGGAGAGATACAAAGATCGATGAGAGAGAACATCAATTGGCTGCCTGCCTCCTGCATGCCCCACACAGGGAATTTTGCCCACAACCTGGGCAAGTGCCCTAACTGGAAATCAAACCAATGACCTCTTGGTGCATGGGTTGACACTCAACCACTGATCCACACTGGCCAGGTGACATATTATCCTTTTAATATATTGATCATGATACACATTCTTCTTTATATATTCTTTTATATGTGTTTAAATATTATCCTTTATAATATTAATTTGTTACTAATTTATTAGAGATTTTTGCAAGTTTATTCAAGAGATATTAATTTATAGTTTTCTTGTAATGTCTGGTTTTGAGAGTTAGAATAATGCTGGCCTTATAAAATAAGTTGTAAAGTATATCCTCCTCTCCTATTTTCTGTAAGAAGTTGGATATGGTTGGTATTTTTCTTCCTTAAATATTAAAAAGAACTCAAGACATCTGGGCCCAGAGTATATCTTTAAAGGAAGATTTTAAATTACTAATTCAATTTATTACACTGATTTAAGACTACTATATTTTTATATTTCTTCTTGGGTCAGTTTTGGTAACTTGTGTTTTTCAAGTGATTTGCCCATATCAATCTAAGCTGTCAAATTTATTGGCATAAGATGGTTCATATTTTCTTATCATTTCAGGGTCTGTAGGACCAATAGTGATTCTGTTCATTTATTTCTGATCTTTATTCTCTTGCTCTTTTTTTTTCATCAGTCTAAATCAACTCTTGAATTCCCTGGTTTTTAAAATTGTTTTTCCACTTTCTATACTGATGTCTATTCTTTATTACTTCCTTTCTTCTACTTACTATAAATTCAATTAGTTCTTTTTCTAACTTCCTAGGGTAAAAACTCAGATCACTGATTTAGATCTTTCTCCTTTTCTAATTTAAAATTATACACTTCCCTCTAAGCACTGCTTTTGCTGCATCATATAAATTTTAATGTTATATTTTCATTACCATTTAGTTTAAAAAATGTAATAATTTATCTTGTGATTTCTTCTTTGGCCCATGAATTATTTAGAAGTGTGTTATTTAATTTCCAAATATTTGGAATTTACCTTGATATCTTATCCTTTCTTTCTAATTCTATTTCATTGAGGTTGCAGAATACTCTGTATGATTTTCAGTCTTTTGAAATTTATGGAGAGTTGTTTTATGGTCAAACACATGGTTCTAGACCACGGACAGCATCATACATGTACTTGAAAATAATGTGCATGCTATAATTGTTGACTGTAATGTTTTAGAAATATCAATTACGGTAAGGTGGTCGATAGTGTGCCTCATGGTCATGCGCCATATACACTATAGTCAGAGTAGTGGTGTGGATGGAAGGAAGGTGCAGTGGGGAGGTAGTAACAACTATATGTAACCTTTGGAAGAAAACAGTCACCCTCTGGAACAAATATAACATAAAACTAGGAAAAAAACAAAACAAAACAAAACCCAAATAAAACTAACATCAAAGGAAATAAAAATCATCTTGAAGAAAATAAAAACATAAATCATGTTCCTAGGCCAAAAACGACTGTTAGATTTCTGTCACAGACTTATCTATGGTTCCCCACCTTCTTAGGTAACCAAAGATTAGATTTCTGTTGACATATTTTCTTCTCTATTTTACCATAATTATTTTTTTCTTCTAGCTTAAAATTCTTCAGTTGAAATTTAGTTGATTTTTATCCATTTAAAATTAATTTAAAAATCAAAAGTATTTAAGGTTATATATTTTCTGCTAGCGCACAGCTGTGGCCATGATGTGTTTGTTTAGATTGTTTCAGTTTTTAGATTAAAGTTTCTTATTGTAACTATATTTCTATTTCCCGCTGTACTTAACAAAAGCTTTTATTGGTATATTTTTGGGTCCAAGGTTAAATATTATTACTAATTGACGATGGACCAAGTACTCTAACTGCACTTGGATTCTTTTTCTCTCTAGTCAAAGACTAAAATAGAAAAACTAACTCCTCAGGTACATTAAGATGGACAAAAACCTTAGTAGAACTAAAGGCAAAATAAATGGCTACCACCATAGGCAATCATTATTCTCATTTTTAATAAGTGGTGTTTGTGAAAATGTACACTTATGGGATGTATACTTATATAAAATGAGTCAGACCTCTATTTATAAATGTACAAAGAAAAACGCTATAAAATAAAAGTTACTATCCAAGAAAAGATGACTTTTAAAATGACACAAAAAATTCCTCACTGAAAACATCTCAAGACACTGTCTGAATAAAAGCTCACCAAAAAAATACTATCTCCCAGAAAAGGATGCCTATTGAGACAAAATGAAACTCACCATAGAACTTGGACTTAGCCAGTATACTACCACTAAGGCAAAATCCGTCCTTTCGGTTACTAACATAAAAGGCAGATATTGGTGGATGATGGGACACCTATTGAACACAGGAAAAACATAGAAAATAAGTATATCATTGGCTATTATTAAAAATTCAAGTATTAAAAGTATACTCTATTAATAAAGAAGGAAGATTTGGTAAGCAGTGAAATAATTTTTTTTTTTTTTTTGGTACGTGCCCCTAGCAGGAACTGAACCTGGGACTCTCTGGTCTGCAGGCCAACGCTCCAACTGCTGAGTTAAACCAGTCAGGGCCAAATATTGGTGATTGTAGTAATCAGGCTCTAAGATGTCTCCCAAGGAACCTAATCTTCTAGTATGCACACTGTTAGGTGGGCTCCTCTTACACTGTACCAAAGTTGGGTTATGTGGAAGTGATGGTATGTCACTTCTGAAATTGGGTTATAATGCAGCAGCCATCTTTTTACTTTTTTTTTTTTTTTAATCCTCATCCGAGGACATTTTTCCATTTTTTGTACAGAGTGGGAGGGAGAGAGAGGAAGAGAGAGAGAGGGAAACATCGATGTGAAAGGGACACATCGAGTGGCTGCCACCCGCACGACCAACCAGGGCCGGGGACAAACTGCAACCGAGGCACACGCCCCTAGCGGGAACCGAACCCGGGTCTCTCCGGACCGCAGGCCGATGCTCCAACCGCTGAACCAAACCGGCCAGGGCTGCAGCAGCCATCTTGATGTGTCTCTCTCTCTCAGATCACTAGCTCTAACAAGCCAGCTTGCATATTGTGAACACACCAATGGAGAGGCCCATAAGATGTAAGGAACTAAGTCCTATTGTCAAAAGCCATGTGATGAGCATGGAAGCAGAATCTTCCAGCCCAGTTAAGCCTTCAGAGGACTGCAAAGCTGGATGACATCTTGACTGCAACCTCCTAAGAGACCCTGTGCCAGAATCACCCAGCTAAGAAGCTCCAGATTCCTGAACCTCATTGAATAAGATAAGAAATGTTGCTTTCAGACATTAAGTTTTGGCAGTAATTTGTTATACAAAAATGGATAACTAACACAGTGGCTATTCTTCATACAAATTACGAATAGCTGTAGGACACTAACAAAAACTTTGACAAATATGTTACTTTAATAATCTAATATTTTTAATATATATACATCTTATGTTTTCTGAAATGAGACAAAGCTACAAGCAATTAAACTCTTCTCAAGATTCTCAATTTATTGATACATCACCTAAGGCAACAGAAACAAAGAAAAAAAATAAACACATGGGACTACATCAAACTCAAAAGCTTCTACACAGCAAAAGAAACAACCATCAGAATGGAAAGGCAACCCACTGTATGGAGAGCATAATTGCCAATGATACATCAGAAAAGGGGTTAATTTCCAAAATATATAGAGTACTCATACAACTCAACAAAAAGAAGACAAAGAACCCAATTAAAAAATGGGTAGAGGAACTAAATAGACACCTCTCTAAACAGGACATACAAATGACCAAGAGACATATGAAGAAATGCTCACATCACTAATCATCAGAGAGATGCAAATTAAAACAATGAGGTATCACCTCACACCTGTCAGAATGGCCACCATCAACAAATCATCAAACAACAAGTGTTGGTGAGGGTGTGGAGAAAAGGCAACTCTAGTACACTGCTAGTGGGAATGCAGACTGGTGCAGCCACTATGGAAAACAATATGGTGTTACCTCAAAAAATTAAAAATTGAACTTCCATTTGACCCAGTGACCCAACTTCTAGGAATATACCCTAAAAAGCCTGAAACACCAATCAGAAGGAATATATGTACCCCCATGTTCATAGCAGCACTATTTACAATAGCTAAAATCTGAAAACAGCCCAAGTGTCCATCAGTAGACGAATGTATAAAAAAGCTGTGGTACATATACACAATGGAATACAATGCAGCTGTAAGACAGAAAGATCTCTTATCCTTTGAGACGACATGGAAGGACCTGGAAAGTATTATCATAAGCAAAACAAGCCAAGCAGAGAAAGACAAATATCACATGATCTCACTTATTTGTGGAATATAATAAACATAAAAGTTTGAAGAACAGGGTAAACCTAGAGATGTGGAAGTAGGGTACAGACTGACAACCCTCAGGAGAGAGGGTGGTGGGGGGAGGGAAGAGATAAACCACAGAACTTATATGCATGTACGTATAACCGATGGACACAGACAACAAAGCTGGGGACGGGGTGGGGGGGGGGTCAATGGGGAGAAAAAGGAGAAATATCTGTAACAAATATAAATTAATAAAAAAAATAAACAAACAAAAAGATTCTCAATTTATTGAAGAATTATAGTGAACTAAAATGTAAGGTGTTATAATTAATTTAAAAAATTAATACAGATAAGTGGTTTCAATCTGGGGAGTATAACAAAATTTCTAGAGAAGAGTACGTTTTTTCAAATGCCATATGGTCTCCTCCTCCTCCTTACAATCCAGGTGAGAATTATTACAGTAAGGATCCATTGTTATGGAAAGATAATATCCTATTCCTCAGGTTTGTTAGGACGGGGGAAGATTAACAATCATGAATATTGGTGTACATAAATTTAAATTAAAAAAATATTAAAACTAATAAGTATTTTCTGACTGCCTACTATGTATACAATAAAAAGAGATGTATTGTGGGGAGGGTATACCTTCAAGGAATTAACAATTCAATTTGGGAAATAAATATTCTATAAAATGTTAATATAAGTGTTAAAATAACAGCTTAATGTATAATTACAAAAAATAATACAGAAATCTGAGAAGAGAGAAATTAATCACTGGGAGCTGCAGTCATCTGGACCAAGAAAGGTGAGTGGGTCAGGGTTTATCTAGATGAAGAACAGCTGAGAAGAACTCCTGGGGCGGGAGAGTTAGACTTAAAAATACTGAGGCAAAGGAAGAAGTGGAATTTCAGGTTACCTAAATGTAAATGCAAAGGTGGAAAATGTGAGAAGGCTCAGAAAGGCACGAGGTAAATTTAAAAAGATATGGAGGACTGTGAACGCCACACAAATGGTATCAATTTGACTTAGGAACTGGGGAAACACTGAAGAATTTTGGCAAAGGGGTGGGGAGCCGGAAAAAAATTATTTTTGTCATAGGATTCTATGACTGTGATAGTATTTAGTAGTACTCACTACTAAAAGGTAAAATGGTTACCAATAAGTGTTATTTTAACACTTATATTAACATTTTATATAACATTAATAAAGGTTAAGCAACAGTGAGTTTACTGAGTTAATATTTTCTATAAAAATATCCCATAACTTCTGATTCAGTTTTGTTTCTTATGACACATTTCTAATACCTGTTCAGCAATATAAAAAGTTTTGCTGTTTGTTCTGGGATGAATCCACAAACAACGGAAAGTCTCACCAAGTATAGGATTATAAGGTTTCTTCAGTCCCTAGTAAAAAAATACAAGTTTCAAATTACAAACATGGAAGATTCAAAATAGTTTAAACCAGTCAAAGTGGGTTTAGCTGTATTATCAGGGAGCTATCCTTATAAAATTTCACAGTAGTGACATGAAATAAAATTAAATGACTTCAATCACAACACAGGACTAAATGATCAAACATTTTGCAATTTTGCTAACTTAAGGTCCCATAATGCAATTATTAATAAATAATCCAAAGATAACAAAAAATAAAGAACTCAAATAAGGCTGAAAAAAGTAAAACACAAACATTACCTTTGGCTTTTTATAGAATCCTGACAAATACCATTTCACTACTTTCTTCAAACGAAAATAAGGATTTTCTTCAAGAGCAGCCCTAAAAAACAAAATGGCAAACACAAAAATTTTACAGAATATACCACAAATGCTCTCTTATATTTATCAGGTCAACAGCTGAATATGAGATATGATTAAAAAGCATAATTTGTATTTAAAATAGATATAAAAACAACCATCAGTTTGTAAGAATCATTTTTATAATATGGTTACTTTCCTTCCCATTTTTCCTATTTTTTAACATGCTGCCCAGGTCTCTGTTCAATTAGTTTTTGAAAATTCTCCAAACCAAGATTTCTCAACTGGGGTGCTGTTGAACCCTAGATGTTGCTAAGGGTTCTATGAGTAATTGTGATTGAGAAAAATAAACATAGATTTTGAGATTCACATACTGTTTGATGCCTAGCATTTGCAATGCTATATTATTGCAATAATGGGGCAGTGGCCAAGCAGCCTCATTAACAACTTTGTATGAGGTTTTCTTCAGTCCACACATCAAAGAAGGTCAATGCCCACTTGATTTAGTCTATTCTCATTTGCTGATGTCAATTAGAGGAGATCAGTGGTAACCAGTGAGTGCTGTAGTACACGAAGGGAGGATATAGGCTGCTGTTAGCCTCTCCCGCACAGCTCCCCAAGTATAGAGCTGTATGCCTTTTCAACCCCTTGTACAAAACACAAGTTTCAAATCACAAATATGGAAGATGTAAAATAATTTAAACCAATTAAAAAGGGTTTTAACCCATTTTTACCCTTCAACCTCCCCTATGTGATACCAACTGATTTTCCAGAATGAATAAACTCTACTAGTATAACAGGTAATCAAAGAATGATTTCCATTTTAAAGAAAACATTTTTAGAAGTCCTGACTCAGCTGCCCCCTTGCCTTTTTGCTGATGCTATAAATACTGCAAAACACTGATTGTATAGGTCAGAAGTGAATTCTGCTGAGAAGTTAATCTGCTTGTTATTTATTTATTTATTTTACAGTTTAACTATTTATTATACCCTTTAAGCATGTCTGAAAGTCCAATGTGCTGTTTTGGAAGATGAAGTGTAAGGTGCAAGAGGCTAGGTCTAGGCTTACTGACAATTTTGCCAAGTTGAAAGGTTGCACTTTTCAGGAGTAACAAGCCCTGATTGCTCTCTTCCTATCTTCACTTGAATTCTCTTACTACGATATTTTACTTTATATTTTACATACACACATAATACATATTTCAAAACTCAAAGCAGTATCAAAAAGTACACGTCTTGCCCTGGCCGGTTTGGCTCAGCGGTTAGAGCATCGGCCTGCGGTCCAGAGAGACCCGGGTTCGGTTCCCGCTAAGGGCACGTACTTTGGTTGCAGTTTTTCCCCAGCCCTGGTTGGGTCATGTGGGTGGCAATCACTCGATGTGTTGCTTTCACGTCGATGTTTCTCTCTCTCTCACTCTCACTCTATCTGAACAAAATATCGAAAAATGTCCTCGGGTGAGGATTAAAAAAAAAAAAAAAAAAAAGTACACGTCTTGCCCTGGCCGGTTTGGCTCAGCGGTTGGAGCGTCCACCTGCGGTCCGGAGAGACCCGGGTTTGGTTCCCGCTAAGGGCATGTACCTCGGTTGCAGTTTGTCCCCGGCCCTGGTCGGTCGTGCGGGTGGCAGCCACTCGATGTGTTCCTTTCACATCGATGTTTCTCTCTCTCTCTCTGTTCCTCTCTCTCCCTCCCACTCTATCTGTACAAAAAATGGAAAAATGTCCTTGGGTGAGGATAAAAAAACAAACAAACAAACAAACAAAAAAGTACACGTCTTGTTATTGTCCCACCTCTCCATGCTCTTCCTATTCATGTCCTATAAGCAACTTCTTTTAGTTTTTAGTAAGCAGTTTTCTTCAAGCATTAAGAAGCAACTATGTAGTCTTTTTCTTTAAAAAAAAGTACTAAACTACACATATTCTTCTGTACCTTGCTTTTTTCATACACACATAATGCTGAAGGTCCTTCCTCATCAGTTTATAGGGTTCTTTCTTCCTTATTTGGAAGCACTATACATTATTTAACCAGTCAGCTGTGGCTGGACACTTGAGTTATCTAATCTTATGCTATTACAAACCATATACATGTCATTTTGCATATACATGTTATTTTGTATATGTGGAGCTATAGCTGTAGGAATTATTCCCAGAGGAGGATTACTGGATCAAAGAACTGAATGCATCTATAATTCTGGCAAGTACTGCCAGGTTCTCTTTAAAGGCACAGTGCTTGTTTACATCGCCCATGAGTGCATGAGTGCCGGCTGCACACAGCCTTGGCAGTGAGATAGTGTGTGCTCAGAAAAGTGCAACCTTTCAATTTGGGAAAAATGGACATCTCTCAAGAAGATCTTCTTGAGAGTCACAGTAACCTAACTCATACTCTGAGAGAATGAATTTCTAGACAGATGAAAGAAATATAATAAGATATAAGGCAGAACTGGAGTATAAAAGCTTTTGGACTTCTGGTCAATGTGATGGATAAAAAATAGTACCTTCTAGCCCTGGCCGGTTTGGCTCAGCGGTTAGAGCGTCGGCCTGCGGTCCGGAGAGACCCGGGTTCGGTTCCCGCTAAGGGCATGTACCTTGGTTGCAGTTTGTCCCCGGCCCTAGTCGGTCGTGCGGGTGGCAGCCACTCGATGTGTTCCTTTCACATCGATGTTTCTCTCTCTCTCTCTGTTCCTCTCTCTCCCTCCCACTCTGCCTGAACAAAAAATGGAAAAATGTCCTCGGGTGAGGATAAAAAAAAAAAAAAAAAATAGTACCTTCTAGTTTGAATCTCCATTTTTCTTATTTTTTTGTGAGTTGTGTATGTTTAAGGACTATTTCTATATCTTCGTCTTTTAAGTAGTTATCTCCTCCACTTCTGTTTTATTAGGTTGTTGATCATTTTCAATTACTTTGTAAGAGCACATTTTAGAGAGATTAACACTTTGTGTATGATTTAATTTGCAAAAATCTCCCACAATTTATCAATGATCTTTTGATTCAGTTTATAATTTTTACGATGTTTATTAATATAACTAACAATAAAGCAACTAGTAAACCGAATACAGATAATGCAGCAGAATCTAAAAATGAAGTGACAGGGACAGAACTCAGAAACACAGTGCCCTGAAACACCACTGTAGCTGGGATGGGGGCGCAGGTGAAACTTGGAAACACACGAAGTTGCTGTCTTTAACTGGCTCTCCAAGCAACTGTTGGGACAGAGGTGGTTAGTTCCTCCTCCACCTCCTTTATGCCTCCTTCCTCAGAATTACATCCCAGATCAGCTGGCAGGAAAAAAAGCAAAGATAAAAGTGGGGATTTATGCCAAGAGCCAGCAATTGGCAAGGCATTCCAGACTGGGCAAGCTGCACATGCCTCACAGGCATGCAGAGAGGATACGTATAAACAAAAGCATGAGCCCCAGGATGGAACCTGCACAAGGCTGAAGTGGGGGAGAACAGAGAATGCCAACCACCTCTCCCTGTGTTAGGTCAGCAAACAGTCAGGGAGCCAGTGACAGCAGTTCTGTGGTGTGAGGGGTAAAAGGCCTGTTCTCCTCTAGCTTGTGAGCTCTCAATATTAACCATGTTTCTTCTATTAAGTCAAGTATAGTAGTGGTGGAGAAGAGAGAGCAATATCTCATTAGAGCCAGATTTGGGTAAGGCATAATGATTGAAAAGCACTATGGAAAATTTCTAAAACCATTACTGTTTTAAGAAATAAGAATCTACTTACTCAGATAGGAAATCTGCATGATAGTAGTAATCTGAAAGTTTATCCAGGAAAGAACGAGGTTCCAAAATGAAGGTAGGCAGAACCACCCTGGACAGGTCCATGCCAGGACGGACTTGTTTCAGCAGGGTCCAGATAAGGCTTTTGTTTTCTTCAGACACAGTTTCTGTTTGAGAAGCCTCACCTGCCTTTAGCAATTAACAAGAAATATTGAAATATTATATTTATTTTGGACCTATAGATGTGTAGAAAAGACAGCTAATGTTGAAAATCAGAACTCTGTATTTGACCATTCGAAGCAGTCTTAAAATGTGAAAATAACCCACTAAATAATAAAGTCTATAGCTATAAATTGTAGGTAAAAAAGGGTAGTTGCTAGAGACGTCAAAGTGAATGATATATACAAAGAATCTATTACAAAAGTATTATACTCCACTGTACTTTCTTTACTTCTATGCACTAGCAATAACAAGAAAGTTGTAAACTCATGTTTCCTTGCAATTTACTTGTAGCTGGCAATGACATCAGGCAGCATCCTATTTCAAAAGCAAACCTGAATAAAATGTAAACTTTAACTTTAATAGAGAATATTCAAATGTGTGTAAATACTGTATGTTTTTAGTTGTTTATAGTGCTGATATATTTCATATGTATGCAACTTTTAAAATAAAATAGGTCTCACAGAAATATCCTCTTGGGAAAATAAACAATAGGTCACACAAATAATACATTCAATTTCATTTGAAAATTTCCAAGAATTAGAAGACTCAAATCTCTGAAAAGCAGAGACTTACCTCTCCAAGTTCCTCATGGTTCTGTTCGGTGTAGGTGGTCTCCTTTAGAGGTTCAACAGGCTCAGGCTCGATGTATGAGTCATCTTGCCTTTCTGATGTGTCTGTGTCACTTTCTTCACTTTTCCCCAGCACCTCATTGTCAGACTCATCATGCTCTTGATCATTTTCTTTATCGGATTTATCAGAATACATATCTTGGTCCTTAAAATGCTGTCGTTCTATTTCACCATCATTTAGTCTTAAAGGAAATAATTAATAGAAGGAAGAATAAAAGGGATTAAAATATTTAATTTATAAATAAGAATGATATGTAACATTTACTATGGGTTGGGCATTGTTCTTAGTGTTTTATAGTTTTACTCATTTAATCCTTAAAATAACCCTATGAGATAGGTAGTATTATTCCTGCTTTACTGATTAGAAAATGGCACAGAGAAGTTAAGTAAACATCTGGGGAAATGTTAAAAAAAAGATGACACTGAGCTCTCTGCTTCTCTACCACTTGGAGCTAAAATCACCCAAAAGCAAAATTTTAGACTATCTTTTGCTAGATTTCTCTCTCTCTCTCTCTCTCTCTCTCCTTTTTGATGCACGCCCCTAGCGGGAACCAAATTCAGGACTCTCTGGTCCGCAGGCCGATGCACCAACTGCTGAGCCAAACCGGCCAGAGCTGGACTTTTTTCTTAGTTTTGTAGTCATCATCACTTGAGTTAACCTGTCACGTCTGGTCTTGAAGAAAAACTTCAAATTAAGACCATCAGATAGATTCTCAAGCGATCTCAAATAAAGTATAATTTCCACCTTTAAAAGTCTCCAAAGTCACTCAAAATAAATCCAAGAATAAGACAAGAAAATACTGAGTAATTATATCTATTTAATACTTGACTGATAAGCTTAATTTTGAGAAAAAAAAGTCCAAGGAGAATTGGAAATGAAAATATTAGCTTAAGAAAATGAACCTATAACCAAAAATTGATAAGCTGTTATAACCAACCCTGCTAATACTAACCCTAAAGTGATTAGGGTTAATAATCCATATCAAAAAAAAAAAAAGAATTTAAAAAAAACTTCCAGAATCAACAAATTTTTAAAAAGTCTCTGTGGGTTTCATTTAGTAAAATTATCTTATAGGAGGAACACTAAAGTACTATACAAATGAATACATGATGTCATTATATGTCACTGATATTCCATCAATGCTGAGATAGTAACAGAGCACAGAAGTCCTATTTGATTCCTATGTTAGACTCTATTTTTCCAAAATCTTTATTTGTTTGGAGCTTTAAATAGAGAATTTCTAACAGAAATTAATTTCTATATACATTTTATTTCCCCTTTCTTTCCCTTTATGATAATATTTTTTTAAAAGTAGTGTAAAATTGCTCTCTCTCTTTTCTTACCATCTATTCTCTCCTTAACCTCTCATGATAAGGTTTTCATTCCCCTAAATACAGAGAATCTGTTCCCTCAAAGGTCACTAATGACGGCTTGGTTGACAAACCCAATGGCCTTATCTAATCTTTGCATCCTTTGACTTCTCTGCATCACTGAACTTATTACATGATGATTATTTTCCTTGAAATAGTCTTAATGCTTGGGTTCCATGTACCTGCAGTTCTATTTTTTTAAGCCCTCTGATCCCTCTTATGTCCTTCTACCCATAAATATTTTCATCTTCCTTCCTTGGCCTTTTTAAAATTTCTCTATCATCTCTCTCCTTTGGCAAGCTACCCAATTTCTGTGATTTCCAAAGCCATGCATTCAAGAATAATCTTTAGACCCATGTTTTTATTTTACTTTATTTTTTTGTTTTTGCCAGAATTTATTAAAATTATAATTTTCTGCCTATCATATAAGTCAGTATCTTAAGCTTGAATTTTACTTTTTCCTGCAAAAAGCTTTATGGTTTCCATTTGGTCCAATGCATGGGAGAAGGCTCCAGGGTGGTTAAAAGGATGCCCAGTGGTTTCAGGGAGCTCAAGAGAAAGCTAGACACCAGAAGGATGCAGAGGGGCCCCTCAAAGGCTTCTGAGCTCCAAAGGCTCCTATAGTGACTGAGGAAGAGTCTTTTGAAGAGATAATTGCCCAGCCCAGCCTGGGGGCCAGCTAGCCTGCAGAGATTAGTCAGGTGCTCACCCATCTTCTTGATAAGTTTCACCTCCTCATCCAGGAAGTGATTCTCCGGGAAATCACAGAGATCAGGGTCTGTGTGGGCAGAACCCAGAGCATGCAGATCCAAACGGGCTTGGTTCAGATTCTCCATGCCTATGGTGGCTTCCATGGCATCCTGAGTTTTACCCCACTCATCTTAGGAAGGCTTCAGCACATCTTGGAAGAGGACATGGCCACCATGTTGATTTTGCATCTTTAAGAGATGCTGGACACCCTGGAGCTTCTCCTCAGCCAACTCATGGAAGAAGTGGTCCAGGACCTCCAGAACTACATTGTCATGGTCAAAATAGAAGCCCAGAGAGAGGTAGGTGTGGGAGGCCCGCAGATGCAGGGTGACCAGACAGTTGATGGCAGCCTCCACCTCGGTGGAATAATTCTGGTAAATTTGGGAGTTCATGGTTGTTCGGCAACAGGGAGTTAAGGTCAAAACACAGTGTTGGCTGGTCTCAGAGGCTGAGGAATTGTCTTTTGCACTTTTCTTTTTCTCCTCAAACTGTTCCAAGAGGCTTTTTGATTTTCCAGCTGGCAAAGGAAGAGGAAATAAGCCTCTCTCATTTGGATCTTCTCCAAACAGCTGGAGTTTTGTCTGGTACTTTGTGAAAATACTAGGTTCATTATCCAGAGAATTCTTTTGTAACTGTTTTAGATCTCTCAAATGGACACCAAAGTCCAATGGTGCTGACAGGGTCTCTGAACTTTCTGGACAAAACTGGGATCCAAACAGGAACTGAGAATCACTGAGACTAGCGTGATCAGTCTGGTTATTAGTCCAGTTAGATTTCTTAGTGATCCCAGAGCCTGAGCGAATACTGAGCATATTCCAGACATTAAAATTCATTTCTTATAATTACTCCTCTGAGGGCCACACACGCCTGGACCTGAGGTAGCCCTGATCTGGCTTCCAAATCACTTGGTCTCATGAAAGCCCTAGACTCATGTTTTTAAATGCTTGGATAAAATCATCAGTGTCACTGCATCCTCAACATGTACAATATTTAATAAATTATTACCTCCAAACAGAGTCTTTTGTTTTATGTTACCATCATCTTCCCTGTCACTCAGGTTTAAAGTTTGGTAATCCTCCTTAACTTCACCCACTCCCTGTTCCTTACACCCAAGTGGCTTTAAATTCCGAAGCTAGGCTCCCACCCCTCTCACCCCTGCATCATCAGCTCCCAGCTCATTTCCTGTCATATTGCCAAATAAACGTTATGTTGATTCTACTTTTGTAAAAATCTGTTATATTGATCCTCTCCCTGATTCCCTAGAAGTAAGTTATGTCTTCATCCTATAAATTCTCCTGATCCTATATTACCCTAAAGCAAAACCTTTGGTTGTTTATGTTATTCTTTTCTTTCTACTATTTATTGCTGCCCAGGATTTTATAGGTTTCAAACAAAACAAAACAAAACATCTCTTCAGGATCAAATAGATAATAAACTGTCGTACTGGATTCAAACTTAGGATCATATCAGATTCATCTCCCTATTCAAAATGTGCCAAATAATACAGAAAGATGTATGGTATCTTACACAGAAAACAAGCTGCAAAATTTTAATGAATAAATATGTGAAGCAATGAATTTCTAAGATTCCCAAATATGAGCATGTAAAGATTACCTGGTATTCAACAAAACCAATGAATGGTATACAGCTGAAGAGCTTTGAGGAAAAAAATTCTAGGAAGAGGCCCCAATAAACACCCCTTCCTATAGAAACTGTGCTCCCACTCCCAATCCTATCCCATTCAGGCTTTTGATCGAGGATTAAGATAAAACTCCAGATTATAATTCTGCAAAGAAAGAACGTAAAAGGTCAGGTAATGGAGGCTTTCGAAGAGAGTGAAGAAAAGAAGTCAAGTGAAGGATAAGAAAAAAAGACGCTCGGGTTACGTGAAGGAGAGTACAGTCCAACAGCTTTGAGGAGAGTAACCCAATGCTGACAGCTAAGTGGTTGTGGAGCAGAAACTGAGCAGGGGCAAGGGATGAAAAGGGGAAGCCTAATGTTTTCCCTACAAAGCAACAGATGAGATCTGAACCTCAACAAGTCTCTGAACCTCAAGCAAAGTATTGAGTTTCCCTGGAGAGTTATTTATTTATTTTTTTAGCATTAACTGCTATAAATGCTGAAGTGGCTAAAATTACAATAAGACACAATTCTAACTCGAAACACAATATAATTGGAGAATTCCACAAATACCAGAAAGAATAAGTCAAGTGTCATTACAAAAATAAAACAAAACAAAAACCAGTGCTATAGAACAGCAAAGGAAGGATAATTATTATTTCATGGTTAGAAGGCATGAAGGTCTTCGTATATGATGTATATTTGAGATTGGTCTTGTGATAGGAGAAAAGAGCAGGGAGGACTAGAAATCATTCTTAATGAAAAGAACACCTTGCACAAAGACAAGGTTGCATTTGGAAAATAACACACAATTTACATTAGCTAGGATCAAGGAAATAACTTTCTATACCTTAGAGTAACTAAATGAATCTTTTAAAAAATATATTTTTATTGATTTTTTTAGATAGAGAGGAAGGAAGAGGGGGAGAAACATAGAAACATCAATGAGAGAGAAATATCGATTGGCTGCCTCCTGCACACCCCACACTGAGGATGGAGCCAGCAACCTGGGCATGTGCCCTGACCGGTAACTGTACTGGGACCTCTCAGTTCATGGGACGATGCTTAATCCACTGAGCCACACTGGCTGGACAACTAAATGAATCTTAAATCAGGCCTTGGACCATATAATGGGAAGAAGACAGCCGCTTTTCAATCCTACATACACTACAGAAATTCTAGGTCTGCCAACTAAGCTGGTGAACAACATGGTCTCTAAAGTAATCACCAAATTAGGAGCAATATCTACTTACTGGAAGTTGTCACCGCTGTGGAGATTGTTAGCACGTAATAAGCCATACAAAGTCACATGTGTGCTCTCTGATGAAATGCTCAGTTCATGTTCCTTTCCTTCCCTGATCATTGTACGTTTAAGAAGACTAGAACATTTCAAAGCCAACTCTAAAGCATCCATCCAGCACCTTCCTAGAAGAACACAGATTCATAAGCAGTATAATTCAAGAAATTATAAAAACTAGAATCCACTTTAACTTAACACTGTTAGCCCTTAAGCATACTATTATTTCTTTGAGATACATACACTGAAAAAGTTAGTTTTACATAAAGTCTTACATGGATTTTTTAATGCAATTTTTCAATTTATCTACAAAGTATCTAGAAACCACTAGTAAATGAATAGAATATAGCACTCATTAGTAAATACACCTAATAAAAATACATGTATTTTATTTTCCAAGTTTTAGAACATTAATATGTAGTATAATTTGAAGGTATCAAAAAGGCACATAAAATATACTGAAGGGATTATGTATGTACTATAAACAAACTATCTGAAATAATGTTTTGTTGTTGATTGTAGGTCTATTCCCAGGTTTTGCATCCATTCTATTAATATGTATGAAATTTTTTAAGTCCGGGAAATGCCTGTACAATACTGTTATTAACTGCCGTATTAGTTAGTAGAAACATTAGTAACTATTTTTTTAATTAAAGTCTAGAACTGTTATTAGCAGAAAAAATGTTATTTGACTTAAAATTCATATATATTTGTTTCAGCATCCGCTGAAAATATCAGCCAAATAAAACTTTCATAACAAAAGCTCATGCCTATGACAATTTTATTTTTAAAAATAATCATCTGATAAAAGTAAACTTTGGAAGGTTACAAGATTTCTTAGGCTAGGCTAGTCAAACTATAAGAAATAAAAGTGAGACAGAAATCCATTATCAATTATTAAAGTGTTAAAGTTACCTTGATTTCAAATAAATAAGTTTTGTTCTCCCTATATTTGCATCAGGAATTATTAAGTTAATAAATGCAGAACAAAGTTTGTACTTAAATGTCTTATGTTAAAAAAAACTTACAACAGTGTGTCTTATAAATGTTAATACATTTATAAATATAAATGATAAAATATAAATAGGATTAAATATACTTCTAAAATGATAAAACTTTGTGAGTTACCACAGAGAACACTAACCAAGTCAAAAAGGTGTTAACATGTCAATGGAAGATAAAGAAAAGTCTAGGCTACTAATGTAATTCATCACTCAATTATCCAATGCTTCCTTCCTCATCACTCAATTATCCAATGCTTCCTTCCTATCAGATTCCTCTGTTGTCTACCAAGTTATGATGCATTTGATGTTCTAAGTAATTTATGATTACAATACTTTTGCTGCAAATACCATACTAAAGACAGATTTTCCCAAAGAAAAATACACAGTAGTATATAAAATAAACCCTTAAAAATTAGACCAAAATCTAATCCATCAAAACCTATATTTACCATCTGACTCCGAAGTAGCTCGGATGATCAAGTAACTGCTAGGTAAAGGCTGAGTTATAGATCCAACTGCTTCACCTTTTGGACCCTTAAAATAATAAAATAAAAATAAGCAAAATAAATGGCACACAGTACTATGAGATCTCAAGTTTATGTTATCCATTATTGTTGGTAACAATCAAGTTAGCCATAGATTAAAATTTAAAAGCAAACAAGCTTTACTTTCATGCTTCTTGAGAAAGTAAATATTGAGTATTAAGGAAAGTTTTCCTCTTCCAATAAATATACTTCCTTACCAAAAAACTGGACTTATAGTTATCATTAAACATTATCTCTGTACATTGTTCACATATTAAAGGGAAACCTAAAATTGACCACACCACTTATTTTAACACGGACTTTTCATCCCACTTATACTACTAGAAAAGACATTTAATTTTTAGAAGCCTATTAAGAAACAGCTGGAACAGCTGGTAGTTATAATTTATACGAAAAAGAAAAAATAATTTTTCCTATGGCGAGAGAAAAAAATAAAGTTCCATTTTATAACCAATGATATACTTGTTTATAAATACCAACTATAAAAGCTAATATTATTTTTCCAGAAACAATACAGAAAAAGGAATTTTATTGTTGTAGGCTGGGGTTATTTGTTTTAGAAGTATGCGACACCAAGAGTTGTACAATAACTAGTATCACCAAGGATAATCTTAGGTGGGCATAGTTCTTATCTGGAAAGAAAACTATCAGGATTGAATTTATAGTATAATTTTGATAGAAAAAGCATCATTTTTAAGTTGTCAGATCAAGGAATAAAATGAACTTTAAAAAGTATAAACATTAGCAAGTAAAGATGGAGATTCAAGATGGAAAAAAACAATATGATTTTAACATCTTATAAAATCCACCGGATATTTTCAAATAGTTTTATAATTTATAGGCCAGCTCCTATAACCAGTATAAAGTAGAAACTAGAGTAAGACTGTCTACGTTTCAACCTTGATTATATGCTAGAAAAAGTATTTAAGTAACCTTTTTAGGACTCAATCTCTTTGTCTGGTTAAGAGGGGAAAATTGTATCTTTCTTAAAGGTATGACAATTAAAAAAAGATTCCATGTAAAATGCTCGAGTCCCTGACACAAAGTAAGAACTCATAAACATTATTTTTTCCTAACCACAGACGTTGGCTTTAAAACTATTTAAACAACGTCCTAGGCAGGTTTTGCTTGTGGAAAATATTCTGATGCTCATGTAATTGTACAAATTTCCCTCCCACAAATATTTGGAATTAAATAAACTTAGCATTAAAATTTATTTTTATTTATTGATTTTACAGCAAGAGAGGAAGGGAGAGAGGGAGAGAGAGAAATATCGATTTGCTGTTCCACTTATTGATGCATTCATTGGTTGCTTCTTGTATGTGTCCTGACGGAGATCAAACCCACAACCTTGTATAAGGGACGATGCTCTAATCAACTACGCTACCCAGCTGGGGCTAAAAATATTTCTAATGCTCTAAAATCTCATTATAATTCTTACAATTCCTAAGAGTAGTAGTAAAGAATAAATGCTATATATATGAAAGGTTTTAAAAGGATTTTTTTTTTCTCTTGAGAATCACATGATATATAAATACAATAGGTTACACGGGTTTAATTCTTTTCCCTATGGGAAGTATCTAATTCCAGAATGGAACTAACTCTGTAACCATAAATTTATTCCTGACTCCAGACTACTGAAATAAAGGTACAAAGTCCAGGTTTTTTCCTAGGTATATGTATATTGTCTAATTAAGCAATACCAAAAATACTTAAAAGCTGAAGCTAGTTTTACTTAGACATAATCTCAACTAGGTGGTTTTCCTTAAAGGACTTCAAAGCCCTTTATTCAAGTGTAACTGACCTTTCAAATTAAAACAGTGATGGCTTTGTAAAAACTTAAATAGATTCATTTATTCAGTTAGTGTGTGCTGCACGTCTACTGTCTGTAGAATTTCTTGATAGTTAATCAAACAAGGCATTTCTATTTTCTTGATTAAGTTTCACAGTAATGCTATTTAACTACAAAGCATTAGAGCTCCATCTTCAAAGGAAGTTGTCTCTCAAGAGTAAGTAAGATTGTGATTGCTTATAGGCTTCTTCTCATCACATATTCACATCATTACAGGAAAAAACACAAAAATAAATGGCAGCTTCTGTTCTTTGAGATCTTACAGTTTTAATAAAGAGAAAAACACAATAAATACAATATTACAAAGCAAAATTATTAATTACAAAATTTAAAAGACAGCACAAACTGAATCCCCATACCAAAGAGAAAATAAGGTACAATATAAGTTAGAAAAACATTTTCTGGAGACATTTTTAAGTTAGATCTTAAAGGTAACAAGGACAGTTGGTACACATTTAATTGTAGGTAGAGAAAGAGGAATAATGCCCTTGAAAACAGAAATAAATTTATAAGTGCTGGCAGAGAACAGCAAACATTAATCATTAGGTTAATTGATTTGTCTCAGTTCTACTCACAGACTGTCATCTTTACCTTTCATCTATATAACAAGTACTTACCTTCACTGCCCAAATAGACTGCTCCAAAGGATGAAAAAGTTTGAAACAGAAGCCATCCTTTTTTGATGGACGCTCAATGATTTCACAGGCATTCAGAAGGACTGTTCCTACCCACTGACCATTTTTTTGGGTTTTATAGATCAGTAGCACCCCGGGTTTCAACACACACCACAACTTGGTCCAGCTCTTTAGAGTACCACGAATCTACAAAAAATAATTTTAAGAAATAAAGCTCTGTTTTTCTGTTTCTGCTCCACAAGATATAAACTGAATAATGGCAAATAGGATATTTTAATCTAAAATTTCCATAAAATGTACATGTTAGAGTCAATAGATATTTTTTCTAAAAGCTACTAAATGGCAAGTACTAATAATTAACATAAAAATAGCATGACTCATGCTTCTGGGGATCTTAAATTCCCGGGGAAGACTGGGTCACCAATTTAAAAATACTGTACCAAGTAGAGTGGTTTTCCTAACCTTCTAGGTCAGGTCAGGAACTATTAAAATATCCTTTCTGATGCTGAGATTCTCCTCTTAGCATCTATAACAATAATAATTGATTCCAGTGAGTATAAGATTATTCTACCTTTATGATCTTACACCTTACCACTACATCAAGATTACTGAAAACACTGCTAGCACACACCAGGAGTCCCCTAAATATTCAGTGAGCGGTAGAAAGAGGAAAAGACATCCTTCTAGCCCTAAAATCACCTTCTCTAAATTACTCCATTGTTAGTAATTACATAAAGTGTGCCATATAAATTTCTTAGTAAATTTTAAAACATGAATTACATAAATCTCTCTCTAGTCTTATAAAATGTTCCTAATCCTAGGGTTTAATTCAATGTCAAAAATAAGTCTATAGCTAGCTTTTCCTATTCTATTACTTAAACCCATTAAAAGTGTTTCTATACAAGTCACTGACTGCATGCACAATACTGAAAAGGATGCTAATATAATATTGCGATTAAAAACTAGGACTTATCCTTAATTTTATTTACTGTAAAACATTTCTCTCAATGCACTTATATGAATTATGAAATAAATACAGAGTACCCAAACTCCCCAAATAGGTATACCATAGTAACTCTAAACAAGAAAAATTTAGAGGGCGGGGTGGCGCGCTTTGGAACCAGGAATGAAAAAAAGAAAAAATCTTTAAGAAAAAGTATGTGTATATGTAAAAGAGATGGAAAGGTAATAGTTATTCTGAGATAAGATTCTAGATCTCGAAGATGTGAGAGTAGAACATGAATGGCAAATGATCAGGATAAAGGTAAGATTTAGAAAGTCAGCCAGGGGATGTGTTGGGGAGTTTTGGGGAGTTGGCTGGGGAAATTCAATGTCAAAAAAACAAGAGTAGGTTTAGTCCTGAAAAACGTGAGTGAGCCCTGGCTGGTTTGGCTCAGTGGTTAGAGCGTCGGCCTTGGATCCAGAGAGACCTGGGTTCAGTTCCCGCTAAGGGCGCGTACCTCAGTTGCAGTTCATCCCCAGCCCTGGTTGGTCGTGAGGGTGGTGGCCACTCAATGTGTCCCTTTCATGTCAATGTTTCTCTCTCTCTCTCTCTCTCTCTCTCTCTCTCTCTCTTCCTTTCTCTCCTTCCCACTCTACCTGAACAAAAAATGGAAAAATGTCCTCAGGTGAGGATAAAAAAACAAAAACAAAAACGTGAGTGAGATTTGGAGATTAAATTCTTCTAAGTAGAGCCAAAATTAGAAGGTGTTTTTAGCACAACATTGAAGACAATCCTAGTATTACTTGAACTATCAGGGAAACCATCACTAGACTCCTATGTTAGTAAGAGAACGTCAGTGACAGATTTTTATAAAGATTTTAGGTTAAAGATTGTACCAACTCTTCGGGGGAGTGAAAAGCTTTCAGGGCTGGGGTGATTTTTAGGGTCTTACAGGATCATTTTCAAAGTTAGCCTTAGTCTGAAAGATTACTATCAAATATCCTTCAGATAAGAATAAAAAACTAATTAGAGTAACTGAGATGACAAAAAAGGAAATCAAAGTAAGTAGGAATGAGAGGCCAAAAGAATAATAAGGCATGGAAACAGCAATACATACATTTCTCTGAAAACGAACCCTTTTCAAATGATAATTTTTATATGAATTTTGTATCATATCTTCTCAATAATGCATATACCAAGTCTATAATAATACTAAATAATCTTAAAAGCAAGCAAAATATTTCTTTACAGAATATTGATTAGACTATATAATGTTGCACAAATCAAAAAGCCTTTTAAAAAGAACTGCTATACATATTTGATGGTGTTGTCAAGAGAGACAACATTAAGGTTCCTTCTCCCTATTAAGATCGGAACAGAGAACCTCTGGGATACAATTAACAGTTTGTCAGTGAACAACAATCATCTTAGTAGTTATTTATGTCTTGCAGGCTTGCTTTAGTGCACTCTGGGCTTTCTTATTCCAATAGGTAAACATCCAGCAATGAGAATTCAAGATTCAATACAAACTGACCTTCAACCAATCAGCCATAACAATAACAGAAGGATCTGTGATTGAACTGAGTAACTCCTTTGTGGCTCTTTTCTTTTCTTCTCGGTAATTTTTCTTTTGTACCTATTTTATAGAAATGGAAAAGTCATTCAAAATGGGCAATTTCTTTTCAAAATTTTTAGGTCTATAGAATGTAGAATATAAAATTCTAAACCTCTCTTAGAATTCTAGCATCTTAAGATTAAAAAAAACTATTTTTTTCTGTTTTATTTTTTTTAAGAATTGGTAGAAATTTTTAGAGATGTAAGGTTAAGATCTAAGTTTTCTGATCACTAGTCCAGTTCTCCATATCTTTTTAAAGAATTTTACCTTTATAAATTTACACAATAATACATAAATACAGTATCATGTTAAAAAATTTAAACAACACAAATAAAGCTAAAAGACCATCTTTATTATACCCTATTCTATTCCAATCCACAGAATTGACTAGTTAACCATTTTGAAAACACTATCCTTTCAGGCCTTTTCTATGTATACAACCTATAAAAATAGATAGCTTCTGTGTTTGTTTTGGAGTTTTTAAACACATTAAAATTTGTTCTCCCATTCATTATTTTTTGGAGTGCTTCCATGTCCACCTCATTTTTCCCACTGCTATACAGAATTCCCAGTATAAACAACAATAAGAGCTAACATTTACTGGATACATTCTGTGTACCAGTCACAGTTCTAAGCCCTTTACATGTATTACCTCATTTAATCTTGACAATAATCTTGGGAAGGAGGACTATTAGTAGTATCCTTATTTTGCAAAAGAGAAAGCTGAGACACAGACAGTAACTTGCCCAGGATCAAATAGCTACTAAGTCATGGAGGTAGGATTCAAACAGAGGTGGACTGGCTCTAACATGGTGCTCTTAACCACCATGCTATATTGCTTCTAAAATTTTTCTTAATATATTCTCATACTGATGAAAATTTACCCTGCTAGCAGTTTTTCCATATTATGAACAATGCTGCAACTGTTTACAACTGGCAATTTTTCTCTTTCCTGACACTAATATGTAAAATATAAATAATTAAGTCAGTTCTGAGATAATCTGGGAAAGTAGCAGTGGATTGCTTTGTTGTTATTACACGAGTGGGAGAAGAGTGGTGGTAACCTATCAGTGATATGATATTTTTCAACTACACCACAAAATCTTCCTAGTTTTACTTAATGGTAAAAAAACTGCATACAAATAACAAAATTTTAATAATTCTACAGCCAAACTGTCGACTTTTGGTCTTTATTATCATGTATGTCTGAATAAAAAGTAGATTTAATATGAAATTGCAAATGCAAATGAATACAAGATCAGATATGGGGGGAAAAGAGCTAAGACAGACTATGCAGCAATCAGTCAAGTAGAAAGCATGTGTTCCTTAGGTTCCAGGATCTGTAGCCAATCTGGAAGGCAGGCCCCATATTGCTCATTTCTTAAGAGAAGATGGAAATCTGAATTTGTAATAGTTGAATTTTTAAAACACTGTGTAGGTCAAACAAGATACAGCAAGTCCTCAAGTAACGTCTTGTTCAACATTGTTTTGTTATAATAGTGATGAGATGCTGCAGGAATTTAACTCGTTTATATTAATTAGCCTATGGTAAAACTGGTTTTACCATTTCACCACAGTTCTATTGACAATGTTAAATGAGGACTTACTGTATAGTTTAGCCATGGGCCAAATTCAGCCCACGACCCAGAGGTTAGTAAACTTGAATTTCAAAGGACACCAGAGCTTCCCATCAGCTATCCCACCACACAGTGATGTGCCTGACCTGAGTGCAGCTCTGCAGAGGTATCTAGTCCTTGGCCCCAGCAGTGGCCAGCTGAGGCCTGGAAGAGCTCTGGGATAGTCATTATGCAGCCTTTTCAGATGACTCCAGAGTGTCATACAAATATTGGTATTTTTTATTTGTGACTGTCTGGATTCTTTTTTCTTCTTTCAAGAAGACACATTCATTTCTTTATCTCATTAGCTTAATGTTAGTTATGAATAACTGTGGAAACTAACCTTGAGAGATTCTTTCTTTGTGAGCTTGCTTGAAGCTGAACTGTCCTTCTCCGAGCCATTATAAAGTTTAGATTCAGACTAAAATCACATAGACATTAGCAAAATAATAATAATAATAATTAAAACCTTCATTTATTCTACACATATGGAATAAAAATATTAATGTTCAAGCTTGTGACATTATTCCCACTTATTGCTGTGATTTTCAAATACTGATTTTCCACATAGTATAGTATTTGGATTTAAAAACTAATCCATGTTAAGGGAATAAAATATAATAAAGAAATAAAAACAAAAATAATTCACCTTAAATCTACAAAACCAAAAAAATAAAAACTAATCAATAAATTAATCTACAATGTGAAGTTTCTATTTTCTACAGTTTAATAGGAAAATGTATAGTATAACGTACTTCTTAGGTACTATTAAATGACAAATACTAATAGTATCAGCTAAAAGGTTAATGAAAATTAATGGCGGTTTACTTTTTACCAATTACTATGCTAAACACTTCATATATACTACCTATTTAATCCTCAAACCAACCCCATGAGACAGTACTAGTATCCCCTTTTGCTAATAAGGAAATTAAGACCAAGAGATTAAATAACTAAATTCCTAAAGTTACACCCAGCCAGTGTGTTTTGGAACTGCCCTTTGAGTACAATGGCACCTAGTCATACATGACTCTTTAAATGTAAATTAATTAAAATGAAATAAAATTAGAAGTTCAGTTTCTCAGCTACATTAGCCACATCTCAAGTGCTTAATAGCCACATATGACTAGTGATTACCATATTATACAGCTCAGATATAGAACATTTCTGTCATTCAGAAAGCTTTGCTGGACAGCATTGCTTTGGAGTCAAAAAATGAGTTTGAATCTTGATTCTCATTATTAAGATAGTGTTCAGTAAGAGTTAAAAGGAAAACTTTGAGATCCTTAGACCTTCGTAAAATGTACACATTTTGATTGTCATTCAAATGAACTCCAAATACGTAAGAGGATTTTTAAAAAACCATAAACCCTGATAGTTTCTCCAAATGGAACTTTCAGACTTCAGTTTGAGAAATATTACTGTAGAAGCTATACCAAAAACAATATAACTCTAGAGAATACTGATTACTAATACACTATATTTGCAAGTAAACAATGGCATTAAATCAGCTCAGTGAAACTTTCCTTTTTACATACATACTACATGGTTTAGATACACCAACATAAGAACATCTCATAAGATTTGATAGCATTATAGTGTTAGTTCCCTTATCTTAAATATTAGAAAAATATTATAATCGTATATTTGGGGACAACAATATGCTTACCTTGCTCTTTGACATAGAAAGTGAAGAGTCATCTTTATTTTGAGAAATGTCTTCCCTTCCTCTTTCAAAACCTTTAAAAACATTGTGGTTACATCAGTATTACTACTTGCACTAAAAAGCAAATGCAGATAAGTCATTCAATTTAAAATATACATTACAAGAAGCCTAGGCTGAACAAACAGTTTTAAACTATTGTAAGTTTAAAGATTTCTAGTATAATAACTCCTTAGAGTAAGTTAAGGCTTTCAGAGGCACTGAAGTCTTTCTCTGAACCCACCAACATCAAGCTAAATACCTCTTTTCTCAGCTCCTAGAGCACTTTGCATAAATTCAGGCTTCACAGAGCTTTGATTCTTCTAGTGAGCTGTTTCCTAACAAAGAATCCCAATAAAACCAATCTAACATACTTTTCACACCTCTTGGCAAACTGGAAAACAATTCCATAATTGGTGATAAAAGATGACCAGGACAATAAATCTGGATTGAGAAACAGACTTAAACAAATCTAACAATGGGCTTATTGTGAGAATTAAATGAGAACGTACAGAAAGCACTCAGCACAGTATTCTGCACTACAGTATACATTCAATTAATGTTAGCACTTATTATCATTGTCACTGACTATTGCTATATATATTGTAAAAGGATGAATCTAAAATATATGAGTGTACTGGGATAAACATGCATACTTCCCTGCAATCATGTAGCACGTTAGTATAACACTAGTCAAAAGCAGTTAAATTGATGTTATATGAGTATAATTAGAGAAATGTTAATACTGAGATTTATGTGTCAGGCATGAAGGAGCACTACTCATTTTTATGAAGTTCTTTCTACTTCTCAGGGTAAGTAATATTAACTCCTCCCTAAAATTATTTGTTCTGAATCCAATAAAAGCCTATATTTAAAATATGTATATACTTATTCATAGCCCAGCACTTAAAAAATCATTTTTAGCATATCAATGATATAATTTATTCTGTACTTGGTTTATATCAGCTAAAAACAAATCCATTCCATTTTCCTAACTCAGAGATTTTATTGAATTTTTTCTGTAATATATAGAGGGAACTACCTCCCAGTAAAGAAAATGATCACTCAATCCCAATCCAAAGGGGAAAAAAACCTATTTCATTAATGCAACATAGAATTTTAAATAAAAACTTATCAGAATTTGAATCTTTAGTGTAAAGCAAACCAAACTTATATAATTTAGTGTTAAAATTCTAAAATATTTATTCAGTCATAAATATTTGTAATAAGTAATTCATAATACTAATAAGCTAATGTAAAGTACTTCTAAATATATGTACAAGAGCACAAAGATTTTCTAAAAGTACATATTGTAAATAAAAAAATGATGTTATTCTCACAAAAACAGATTTACTTCAATTTATTTGGTGAAGTTTTGTATTCAGCTGAATCTAGACAAATCCATTTATCAGATTAAAAAATACACTTCACTGTGTCTACATTCACATAATATTACAAAAACAAAAGTAAAATTAAAATAAAAGTAGAAGTTATTAGTCTAAATAAACTTTTTCTTAACATGCAAATATATCCTATAGAAAATGTCAATTGTTGGAAAAGGACATTCATAAACCCAGGTTGTATATTATCTGTCCAAACCAATAAACAAATCATACTTTAAAAAATTCTCTATACCTCAAACTTGTAAATCACATCATTATTTGAAAAGCTGGCCCTGATGACTTTCAAGTCTTATAAAATTATAGAGGGATAAAGCAAAAATGCTTTCTGAGTCTGGTCAAATACTGAGTTTCAACTAAGGGCAAATAAGTAGATTACCGGCATAAAATACAATGAACATATTAAAACTATTTCAAAACCTTAAAAAGAAAATATTGTTATATTGTACACTAAGTTTTCAAGGGTAATTCCAAGGTAAGCAAAACAAAGTGTCACACTAGGGACTTTCTTTAGACTGGATAAAGTTGGTTTCCTAAAAAACATTCAAAATAATCTTTATCTTTAAAAGCCAGTCACAGAAATATTTATATTTATTAGAAGCCAAAAGAGCTCTGCCACAATACTCCTTAAGCTTTTTATTTTCTACCATGTGTGGAAACTCAAAATTACTTTAAAATAGCTGCTTTATTAAAAAAACAAACAAACAAAAAAACAAAGTGGTACAGATAAAATCCTAAAGCCTACAACACATTATTGACCAGTATCAATAATACAGAATAGTTTCAGATCACAACTTCGCACCAAGTTTGCCTGTTAGTAACTTTAGGTAGGTACTTCCTTTTCTACTATCCTCTTCATCAAAATAGCTAAAATTAAAAGAACTAACACCATTCAAGTACAGGTAAGAATGTGGAGTAACTAGAACTCTACTCACTAGTGGTGGGAGTATAAGGGAGTATAACCACTTTGTAAAACTGTTGATAGGATCTACTAAAGCTGAATGTGTACATATTCTAACATACAGTAGTTCTGATCCTAGATCTACCCAACAGAAATGAGTGTGCATGTTCACCAAAAGACAGGTACAAAAATGTTCATAGTAGTACTGTTTATAAGTAATATTAATATTAATTATTCATAATAGCCCAAATCTAGACCTGATATAAATGGCTATTAATAGTAGGATAAATTAATATATTATATTTACACATTGGAATGTCACACAGCCATAGAATAGAACCAATTACTACTATACAAAACAACAGACATAATACTGAGTGAAAGAAGCCACTTCAATCCACCAAAAAATGCACATACTGGATGATTCCATGTATTTATTTATTTAAAATATGTTTTTGTTGATTCTTTAGAGAGAGAGAAACATTGATGTGAGAGAGAAACATCGATCGGCTACCTCCTTCCTGCAAGCCTCCTACTGGGGACTGAGACCTCAACCAGGGCATGTGCCCTGACCAGGAATCGAACTGGGACCTCTCAGTCCATGGGACAATGCTCAGTCCACTAAGCCACACTGGCCAGGCCTGGATGATTCCATTTATATAAAATTCAGAACTGGCAAATCTAACCTAGATTAGATATTGGAATAGTGGTTTACCTGTGTTGAAGGAGGAACTGACTAGGAGGGGCATGAGAGAATGTTCTGGGAATTGGGAAGTAGTTATACATGTCTATACATAACTAAAAATTTAAAAAGCTGTGCGATTAACTATATGTTATGCCCAATAAAAAATAAATAAAACCTCAGATATCCTTCTCTATTCTTCCAGCTTATTAAGACCTCTCTTGCTTTGACATTCTTTCTCACATAGTCTATATAACCTATCCTGTACCTTGCTCATTCTGATTCACTCATCAACAGTGATGATAATGATAATAATTAACATAATAATATTAATGAAAACAATAAAGTAACCAATATTCATTTGTAAGGATACTTGTACTCTGTTACATGCTTTACTTACTTTCTAATCTTTAAAACAATGCCACAAAACCCCCCAAATTAACTATATTTTATATAATTGAAAAAAACCGAGGCTCACAGAAATTAAGTTACTTGATTAATATTAATAAGTGACAGTAGCTGAGCTGAGTCAAGCTTAGGCTGTCTAACTGAAATTCATAGTGTTTCTAGAATGCCAGGGTGCCTCTAAAGACCCAAGGCCACATCTTCTCCGAAGCCTTGCATTCATTGTGTAGGGATAGTTAGCTGTCCCCTTCTCTGAGACACACAACACTTCGTACATATTATCACAACATACTTGAATTACTTGTTTTCATGTAAATGTTCCATACTTGACTGTGAGTTCCTGAAAAGAAGCATCTAATCCTTATTCATCCTTTCAAATACAAAAATTTGAATGTTGATCCCAAAATTAATAAAAGTGGACTCAACTTTTACTTGTAATAGTTTTTAAATATGTTCAATATAGCACACCTTCACAAAAATGCATAAAATATAAATGTAAAATTTAATGTATACAGTTAATATTTGCCTAACCACCACCCAGGTCAAGAAAGAGAATTGTCAGCATCCCATAAAATTCCCCCCTAGTAGTACAATTGTTGGGTTTTTTTTTTCCCCCTCACCTGAGGAGATGCTTATTGATTTTAGAGAAAGGGAGGGAGGGAGGAAGGGAGAGGGGAGAGAGAAACATCCATCGGTTGGTTGCCTCCTGTATGTACCTTTGGGATCAAAACCACAACCTATGTATGTGCCCTAACAATAACTGAACCCACAAACTTTTTGGTGTAAGGAACAATATCCCAACCAACTGAGCTACCCGGCCAGGACCAGTAGCACCATTCTGGATCACAATCTATGCTTCTCCTCAAAAGTAACTATCCTGACTTCTACAATCATTTTTTACCAGCATGTCTCAGCAGGTATTTCATTTATTTTAATTGCTAATTAGAATCCCACTGCATGATGGTATCACTATTTACCCATCTATTGTTGATAGACATTTGGGTTGTTCCTAGTTTGTCCCTTACGAATAATGGTACTAAAAATATTCTTGGAAATGTATCCTGGTAGATATATATATCCATGAGTTTTTCTAAGTTTTAAACTTAGCAGAATTCCTGGGTTATAGTGTATGTGTGTATCCCTCAACTTCAAGGATACCAAATTGTTTACCACTAACTGTGTAAGAGCTCTCCTTTCTCCATATCCACGGTAAAATCAATATTGATAAATTTTAAATATTTTTGGTCAATCTGTCGGGTATGTATAGAATCATATAATCAATGAGGTTTTAGTTTTCATGTCCCTGATTACTAATGATGTTGAGCACTTTCTCACATGTTACTTAGATATCTAAATGTTTTCTTTGTGAAGAACCTCTTCAGATCCTTCATGCATTTAAAAAACTCATTGTCTATCTTTTCTTATTGAATTATGTAGAAATTCTTGATATATTCTACTGGTCCTTCATTAGCTATACTCATTACAAATTATCTCTCCATTCTGTAGCTTGTCTTTTTATTCTCTACATGGTTTCTTTCAATGAACAACTGTTAATTTTTAATGTAGTCAAATCTAGCAATCTTGTTCTTTAAAAGTTAGTGCTTTTTGGTCTTAAGAAAGTCTTCCCTAAATCTGTGGTCATAAAGATAT